CTTAGACCTGGATTCACAGAACAACTTGTTAGAAATATAACTGGGATATACAGTACACTGATGAAAATTGGCATCGGCTAATACATATGATTCATGAGCAAACTGAGTGTGGAGGATGTAGACTGATTTCAAGATAACTATCCATTTCCAATTCTTTCTTCCCATGTCTTATCTGTCTTTTCTTATTCTGCTATAAAATCTCTAAAGCCCCACAAAACCAATTCTACAATTAACTGTTCAAACCTTCTCCATCTCTTAATCTTCCTTCTCATTTACTTCTATCAACCTACGAGTGGTACAACCCACAAAAAATCCTTGTCAGCTAACAACTTATCATTGCCTTGAACTGCTGGATATTTGGTCTCATCATTGCAATGACATTTTCTACATTAAACGAAGCAACCTAAACAACCAATTAAAATTTCTTAGAAGAAGTCACCTTCAACACCCTATCACATTCCACAAGTTCAGGATCTGTTATGTTTTGTGTTTTCGTTGCTGGTATTGTTTCCAGTTAGATGAAGTGTGCTTTCAGTGGAATCTTCATTATTCCTCCATTCCCTTCCTATGCCCTAATTTTTTGTACTCTATCCCCGTACAGGTTGTCCTACTTTTAGATGGAAATTATTTAAGTAGATTGCCATGTACTAATAATTGTTGCAAGGTAGAATTAAGCAACCATATACAATACTTGCATAACTGCTTAAAATTATGTAAAACAGTTCATTCCATCATGGTTCTACTGATTTTTAGATTTTGTTCCCTGCATGAGGTCTGTTTACAGTCATGTACTTTCTGTGTAACTAAAAAATTTTACCTGCTGAGATACATCTTGGGTGTCCCACTTGTTCACAATGTTTTATGCAATAACATGGCCATTGGCTCTATATTTTCAACTCTGTTTACACATTCCATCACAACACAGGTTTCTGTTGAACAAGAAAATGCGATGAAGGCTTTGGAACTCTTTATTTCTACCGAGAAGGATGAGTCAATTTCAGTTAAGGAAATCTGTACTATTTATATTGAGAAACTCTGTAGATCAGGCAATCTGTCAGATGCTGCTTATTTGTTAAGACATTTGCACAGTAGAGACATCAATGTGTGTCTGAATACCTATAACAGTCTTCTTACGGCAATAGTTGAATCAAATAATTTCAGTCTTTTCTCTGAGGTCTTCAAGAGTTTGCTAATATCTAATCTGCCTCCTGATATTACCTCTTATAACAAAGTTGCAGAGGCTTTTCAGAAAGTGGCTGATTCAGATCTGGTAGTCAACTTCATCAAAGATGTGTGTGACATTACATTTGGTAAAGATCCTACTGTCATAAACAGGATCATTTTCGTGGCCGCCAAATTTGGGCAGATTGACAAAAGCTTGATGATATTTAAAATGTTGAAGAATCTGGATTCAAAAGTGGACACGGTTACATTTAATACAGTTTTAGCGATATTGGGCAAAGCAGGTCGAATAAATGAGATGATGGCTGAATTTATGGTTATGAAAGATCTTGGGCATATTCCTGATATGATTACTTATAGCACCTTAATCAACTGTCTGCGGAGGCTTGGTAGGCTTGATCTTTGCAAGACCATTGCAAATGAAATGCTTGAGCATGGATTTGAGATGGACTTGCTTACTTCCACTGCCATAGTTGATGTATATGGACGGGCAGGGCATGTTGAAGATGCACTTGGGACATTTGAAGAGATGAAGAAATCTCAACATCCTTCTGTTTATGCCTATCGTTCAGTTATCAGTGACTTGAAAAGGGCAGGAAAATTTGAATTAGCACTACGTTTATCTGCAGAAATGAACTCGAGCACTACAAAGCTTGCTGGTCCTGAAGATTTTAAACAGAAAAGAAAGAGCAGATGGAAGATTAAGCAAGTTGGTTAAGGTCTCGCTTATGGTTTTCTCTTTGAAGTTCTATTTTTGCTGTTGCAAAAGTTGGACACCTAACAGTTCAAGCTTGATTCAGAACAAAAGCTGCTGGGGAAGATTTTCACTTAGATCTGCGGAGATTTTAAGACGAGATCAAAGTTGTTGATGATTGAAAAAGTCATTAGTCCTTGGGTGGTATCTTTTAGCAACTGAGTTTTCTTCTTCAATGCAAAATACACAAAATAAAGCAATTCTCTTATTGGAAAATTTACTGAGAGGAAAGACACAGATACCATACCGGAAAACTGATCTCACTAGCAAGCACAAACTTCTGCTACTCTTTCAAGAATCTTCTTGTGGGATCTGAACACTCATGAAGAAAATGTTTTGGCCTATGGATGCCCTCTAGAAAATATTATGGGTTGACTTATGGACAAATATGAGCTCACCAGGTGCATTGTGGACTGTATTAGTGAATTGGAGTTTGTTTGGCATGTAACATGATGGTGTATCTTAGCCAATCTCTTGTTGATAAAATTGAAAGCAAGATTTCATCCTAATCTTCTACACTTTTGCGTCTGAGATGTGTTCTTGTTTTTGGCTGTATCTAAATGGAACATCAAACTGTACCATGAAAGTAGCATCTAGAAAACTGTCGACAGGTTCATCTTATGACACATCGAAAACCAAATATTAACCTTTTCAATTTGCTAGTGAAGATGTTATATTGAATCAAGTGGTATTAACTTTGTTTAATAATCATCATTCCGATCTTTAGAAATCACACGACTAAGAAATGCAAAAAAACTTGCGCAGAAACCTATATACAGTGCAAAAGCCAAATAATTTCAGAAAAATAACATATCAACCATAAACACAACTTTCGATCGAGTAATCCTTCGGTAAGTCACCATAAATACCACATCCAACCAGCGCATTGACAGTGAATGCACATTATGTGTTGGCCATGACAGGCTTCTATACATTAATTACGATACATTGAAGGATAATGGCTCTTCTAAATAGGACATAAGTTGATAATAATCTTTAGTATGATTTTATCCTTTCGGAATATGCGAGCTCCAAAAAACAGTACCTCTGAGGGTAAGTCAGACTCAACGGACTTATAAATCTTTGGTTCCCATACTCCTCAACCAATGTGAGACATAATGATCTTATCAAGATGCAACACTTCACAATATCTCATTTATCAAATTATGAAATCAGACTTATAAATCTTTGGTTCCCATACTCCTCAACCACATAATGATCTTATCAAGATGCAACACTTCACATTATCTCATTTATCAAATTATGAAATCAAATAGAGATTATAGGCACTTATAAACCTTTGATTCCCATACTCCTCAACCAATGAGACTTAATGATCTTATCAAGATGCAACCCATATAACTATGATATTGCTATTTTTTTTTCTCCTCATCCTCCTCTTTTTCTTTTTTCTCAAAGAACGATATCAAGAGAGTGACGAGCGAGATCGAGGGACGTCCGTAAGGATGAAATAAGGGATTATGAGAAAATAAAATAAAATTGATAATATGAGAATCATAAATAGTAAAATAATATTTTTTATTCTTTAATATTAATAATAAAGAGATTATCAATAGTAAAAAAAATTATAAATAGTAAGTGATGAGGGTAATAATGGCGACATGACGAGCCACGACGTCAGCCATGCCTGAACGACACTCTGCCCAAAAGAGGGCAATAATGCCGACGCGATGTGCGCTGACGTCACCCTCTCTCAGACAACGACTTCATCGTTGTCTGACCCAACACGCTTGGCCGAGGCAAAGGAGAACGACGACCGAGGCTCGCCCATGCCCTACGACAGTTCGGTTCTCCACGCAACGACAGCAATGTCAGATGCCATCAGAGGTACGATCCTGCTCCTGCGGGCAGGCACATCAGATAACACTAAACTTACCTATAAATACCCCCAAGTTCTAAACGAGGGGGAGAGCACTTCTTCATACAAAATCCCCTCCGCATCCATTGACTTGATCGTCGGAGGGGTCGGACCGAGCTTCCGGCCCGACTTGTGTGCAGGTGCAAGAATGGGTCGCCTCTTCCCGGTGCTGCGGCAAAGCTTTCCTCCCGACGCAACGTCCCGACCGGACCACCACAATCGGCCACCGGGAGATCTCGAGGGATGCCGCGCTAGATCTTCGCCGTTCGGACCCCCAACCAAGCTTCTTATAACTATCTCTCAACATTAAATTAAAAAAAATATTGCCCCATGCCGGGCCGCCCTCCCCACCCGCCCCCCCCCCCCCTCTCTGCGCCGACGCCGCGGGCGGGCCGGTCGGTGTGCTTAATGCTTCAAACAATAATGCTAAGTTGGCAAGTATATGTCTACACCCGTGTGAGGTGAAAGGGCTTCCAAACAAGAAACCAATAAAACCCTAGCAAGCACAGTATGTGTCTTTCTCAACTTATTTCACTTTCACATGATGATTTTGATTTTTTTTTTTATCAGACAAACCTCTCACTATAATTTTTTTTATGAAACAGCAGAAAAGAAAATTGAAGAAAACGAGAGGACCAATTTAGTTTATCATATATTAAAAAAATGATTATTTTAGGGATTACTTTACATGTGTAATTTATTACATGGCAACATCTAGAATATTTTAATTTAATTTTCTAGATTAAGAAACTAATGTAAAAAAATTAAAAGAAATCAAATTATGATTATGATTAAATAATATAAATTCTAATTGAAGATGTTGTAGAGCTTTTAGGTCCATCAATAAAATAAAATGAACAAAAGAGAAGAAGATTATTTTTCAAATGAAATCAAGAATATTATTTCTTCAAATTTTATTAATATAATATTTTTATTTCTATGTTTCTTTTTTCTCATCGTGCTTATATTTAGTATCTTAATAATTAGTTATCTTTAGTATTTCGGTCCCATATTTTTAAAAGTTAAAGATTTTTATATTTATGAAAGTAAAATATTTAATTCTATTTTTTCTCACACTATCGATTCTATTGACATAAATACTGTATCCTATGATATTTCTATCGATTATTCAATATGATATGTAATTAGCCGAAATAGTATACATAATTATGGTGATATCCTCTGTATCAGTTCTTGTGATTATTCTCGCGCTTCGTCCTCCTCCTCAGCTCCTCCAGAACCGAGTGCGCGGTGCAGTAGGCGATCGCCTGCACGGTGACCATGGGGTTCACCCCGAGCGCCGTGGGGAGCACGCTGGCGTCCGCCACGAACAGCCCCTCCACCTCCCACGTCTCCCCCCGGGAGTTCACGGCCGACGTCCTCGGATGTATACCCATCCGGCAGCTCCCCATCTGGTGAGCCGAGTAGACCGGCGTCAACAGATCCATCAGACCTTTCCCGCTTGTCGCTTTCACGAACCTCTCGAACTGGTGCGAGCTCGCCGACCTGACGTTTAGCCGGTCGCCATGGCAGTGCTGCGTCCCGATCTCCTCTGCCCCTGCGGCTGCCATGATACGCAGGATCTTCTCCAGTCCCCTCTGAAGGTTCTTCTCGTCCGCCGCCCCCATGCGATACCGGATGCATCCCGATGCGTCCACCGTGCCGGACCCTCTGTCCCTGGCCAGGGCAAATATGTGGGTGGTGCGCGAGAACCGCGCCATCCTGTCCTTGTAGTCGGCACCGGACAACCACGGGGTGGCCACTGAGAACAACCCCGGGTGCAGTGCCGGCGTCTGGATCACCGCGCCGTACCCGGACGTCGCGAAGTTGGAAACGACCGTCGACATCGTCGTGAGGATCGCGCCTTCGTAACTGGTGATCTTCTCCTGGTTCTCTTTGCTCGGCTGCCACCTCGAATCGGACTCGGGGAAGTAGCCCCACGACATCACCACCGGATGGAGGTGGAGGTGCCTCCCGATGTTTGCATTCCGAAGGCCACTCTTCTTCAGTAGCACCGGCGTGTTGAGCGCCCCGCATGCGACGACGGTCACCTTGGACCTGATGATGCACCTTTCCTTCTTCCCCCTCCAGCCATCCCTGAACTCGAAGACGACCCCGGCGGCGACGTTCTTGTTCCTTCCCGCGTCCGCGTGCAGAACCCTGAGGGCTCTGCTACCCGGAATGATCACGCCGTTTCCTGACTCAGCCATGTCAACGAGCCACGTCTCAGACGTCCCTTTCTTGCTCCCGTCCCTGCACCCGAAGCAGCACCAGCCGCAGTCGTGGTCGGGCGGCGCGTTCTGCCCAACCGTTTGCACCGGGTATCCGAGCTCGGCGCACCCCCTCCGAAGGACGGCGTTGGCGAGGCTCTCGTGGCGGACTTCGCACTGGACGCCCATGCGACCGCTTACGGCGTCCAAGGCCTCAGCGTAGACGTCGCTGTCGAAGAGCTCCAGCCCGTGCTCATGCCGCCACTCGGATATCACGTGGTCCGGGGTGCGAATGGACGCCGACCAATTGACCGCCGAACCGCCACCGACGGTGGAGCCAGAGAGGACGAACACTCCCAAGTCCTCGGTGGTGAGGACGCCGCAGCCCTCGTACATGTGATCCAGAGTGTGGCGCTCGAGCAGGGTGAGATTGTTCCGGGCGTGGTAGCCACCTTTCTCCAGGACGACGACCTTAAAGCCAGCCTTGGCCAGGACTCCAGCGACCACCCCGCCGCCGGACCCTGATCCAACGACCACAGCGTCGCAGTAGATGGTAGGAAGGGGTTTGCTCTTCAAGCCGTCAGGTTGGCTTTGGGAGGTGACGAGGGAGAGGCCAGCTCTGGACAGGGACGTGCAGAGGACATCCATTGGGCCCGCCATGTGTACCAGTGCCTTGTAGAGCGGCCCGTCTCGTGCTCCCTCCTCCTCCTCCGAGCTGCTCTTAATTGCCCGCCTAGGATCGGGCCCGACGTAGCCAATCGCCTCCCAAGCGGGGTTCTCATTCTTCTCGTTCAGCTGCCCATGATCATCTGGAGTTAGATCTTGTAATGGTAAATAACAGTGGAACTTATGTCATTATGAGATTTGTTTCATATACGGTATAAATCATAGAGAGATATTTTAAGCCAAATCTCAACTCAAGGAACTTATGTCCGACTCGATGCAGAATAATGAGCAGTGCTGTACTGATGTCGAACACAAAAAAAAAAGGTTTTTATTTTTTATATTAAAGAAAGAAGAAAGGATATATTATTTTGGAATTTTCTGAGCAAATTAAGAAGAAAATGATGTTGGAGAAATAATAAATGAGAATGGGATGATAGGAATGCTTACGTTACATTCTATACATAATTCGATTCAATACATTTTTGACGAAATAACCTTTTATCCACACGTATAATTTGATCGACTACTAAAAGAAGCAAGTTAGTGCAAGAGGCATTTAGTGCACTGTTGGAAGGTCAACGTCGAGCTGAATCTGAAAGGATGACCATTTTGCTTTGGATCCTTTAAAGTCAACTTTGTTTTTGGGTCCTTATAGAAAGATCTCTTAAAACCTAATAATGTTTGTAAATCAATATCAACCTGATGTGCGTCCTGCAGCTGCGCACCGTGCTTAGTTACCGTGCCCAACCATCTCGATGTGTTTTGTGGAGCTAATTCCGACCGCCAGAGCGGCAATGTGACAGAGCGATGATAAGAAGCGCTCACCTGGGTGAAGTAGAAGAGGACGACGAGAGCCTTGAAGCCCTTGTACAACACCCGAAGCAAGAAGATGCAGCTCATGGACCACGACCGGATGATATCCTCCCGCCCCGCCGCCTCCACTTCCGGGAAGCTCCGGAAGAAAGGGAAGCGGCAGGAGAGGCTGTTCGTGCCGCAGAGGATGAACGTGCCGAACCACGTCGAAAGCAGCCACAGCGCGAGCCTCAGCTGCCACAGCCGAGGATGTTGGATCCTCTCGGATAAGTACCCTCCCACCTGCACACGGTGAACGTTCGTTATTGGTCGGTGGCTAACCAGCAACTTCCAAAAGCTGAATTGTTGAACCAGTGGTGGCCGTACAACTTCCGGTGTTCCGATCATGGACGCGGAGTTAGCGTAGTAGGTTCGGAGGGACTGGTGGGGAGCGTGGGGGACATGGATGGAGGGGAGGAAGGCGTCGCATACGGCCGCGAGGGAGTCCTTTTCTCGGCTGCTGAGGCGGTTTACTGGCGCTGCATCCGGTCCGCCCCGCGACGGCCAGGACTCGCCGGCCTCCAAGTCCTTCACGGCTCCCGTAAGGGAGGCTTCGTCGGCGACCGTGGTTCGATTCACTCGAACTTCGTGCTCTCGACCCATTGCTTCTTCGCCTCTTCTTCTTTTTGGTTCCCAAGGTTGCACACACAGGCCCTATGAAGAAGAAGAAGAAGAAGAAGAAGAAGAAGAAGAAGAAGAAGAAGAAGAATAAGAAGAAGAAGTTGACGATAGATGCATGAGAAGTGCAACAAGATGATGTATAAAAGCTTAGTCGATCGCCTCACCGGTGAACATTAATTTGGCTCGCCCACTCCCTCTCCCAAAGTCAGACTCTTCACAAACGACACAATGGAAATGCTTAAGAGGTGCAGATGGTGAGGTGGGCATAAGCTCGCTGGTCCTGCCGCGAAGTTGTATACACATGTGAGAGATTCAACATACACAAAAAAAGCTTCTAGCATTAAAATTCATTTAATATTTAATCGACTATTTATTTTCTCACTCTAAGAAATTTTGCCAAGTGCTAATGGACAACATTGACTTTTTCAACTCTCTAACCAATGTAGATTTTTCTTATTTATTTATTATATTAATTGCTCTAGGTAGATTTGAATATGATGAGATCTATCAAAAACTATGCAATATGCTCTTATATACAGTTGAATATGAGATCCATCAACTTTGCAATAGTATCCTAATTACCAGAATATTTCAATAGAGACAGTATAAGATTAACTTGAATAAAACCTTTTTTTTTTCTTTGGGGGAGGGAGAAAAAGTGGACAAAAAAGCCAGAATTGGAGACTTGATCGAATAATTTGAATCTTAAAAATGATCTAAATACCTTCTACCATATATTATCAAATATATCTATTCTTAAAGAATAAAATTTTATTATAAATATGTTATTCTTTGTTCTTGTTGCTTTTAAAATTAAATTATAGGATTTATTATTATACTCTAAAAAAAACCTACTAATTGACTCCTCGATTCAATTAGGCAATCTAAATAACATTAAAGGGGGAGCGTTAACCGTTTACATCGAGGCTCGGAGGTCGAGATGGGATGTGATCGTCGAAGGGCCTACCACCGACGAAGCTTTGCGAACGTTGCTCTCGAGAGTGAATTGCTTGTTTCTCCGAGCCAATCAGTCATCTAAACCCTTTCTTGTCAATCCTTTTGCCCCCTTCTTTCCATCCAGAAAACTCAACCACCGTCCTTCGCGAACTCGAAGAGGCCGGGAAGAGAGCAGCAGCTGCCGAGCGCAGATTAATGGAGAGACAGAGACAGCGAGAAAAAGTAGGATTTGCGAACCAATTACAGACGATGATTGACCAAACTTGCGTTGGATATGCAAACATAGATTAACAAGTGTTTCATCGTTGAAACTTGACGAGGATAATAACTGCGATAAGACTCGCGTGACGTCAACTGTCCCAAATAACGTCTCATAGCATCTCTGGTCAATGCAGACTGGAACGTCGACCGAGACACATTGACCCCTGCTCAAGCTCAATTCTTCACGCCACGCCAACACCAGCGTCAGACGCTACCAACCTGTCCCCTGCAAGGGGGCAATTCAGGAAGCAGTAAGCTTCTCTATAAAAATCGCACCTAACCACTATCATCTGACTTGATCGTCGGAGGGATCGGGTCGAACACCTCGACCCGACATTTGTGCAAGTGCGAAACTGAAGGTCCCCACCGTCGGACGCGAAGACGAGGAGTTCCTGCTCGAAGGCTACGACGGCCCTGTCCCGACCACCGCATCTGAGCACCTCGACGGGTTCGAAGACTGTCTCGGAAAGATCCCCCATCATCCGGGCTCGACCTGAGCCGGCATCGACCCCCAGGCCACGGCTCAAAGTTGTTTCCCACGATAAAACTAAAAACACCACCTTATTCTTTTTGAGATTGGAAGTTGAGCCACGTAAAACATCACCTTCCATAAATTGGCTGCTTGAAACGACGGCAGCCCGCCCGGTCCGGACGATGGCGGAGGTCCCATAGTGAACCGGTGGAGACAAAAACCTTGGCCTAGAGGTCCAGGCGACGGAGACAGCATTTAGCCTGCAGTCTCCGTCGGACGTCTCGTCATCATGAAATAAAAGAACATCGACTTTTGTGCTACGGTGTGAGAGATTGCCACCCACGGCTGCCGCACCATAAAAAGCTGACAGCGAACAGTTTGACTCATAAAGTTGCTAGCTCGGGTGGCCAGGACAGATGGACCCACCTCGAGAGTGATTGGTTCATCGGTCGATGGTGGCGAGCTTCGGAGATTCAACGGAGCAGTTAGTCGGTAGGCTGTGATAACATCTGTGGAGATGTAGCAATTCCACGGCGTTGCAGATACTCTTCGATTCCAATCGATCGTACGAAGACTTTAAGTCAGTCATTTCCGATTTCAAGATAAGAAATCTACCGAAACATCTCATGATTTGATTGGATCGTAGAAAGAGGAAGTGTTAATTGCGCCAGCCAGTTGCTGCCACACCATACCCGTATCCCATCTCTGACTATTCCAGACTCGGTTGGGTGGGCACGGACGTCGACCGACGACAGAAAGCTAAGTGGACACCATTACGGACATGCCAGCGCATGGTTCGTCGCAGTGCCACGCGATTAAGCACCGTAGCTAAATCGACAGTAAGTGCTGTGCACAGGTTTGAATATTCTGCATCGACAAGTGTTGTAGCCAACCACGCGATTTAGCCTGTTATTTTGCCTCCAAAGAGAACGATTGAAAATATTCATGTATGAAATTATAAAAAAGAAGAAGAAAGATTTAGAGAATAATTTCATATCGCTAAGAATTGAAAGAATCCGATTATGTATACTCGGTTAAATTGGTATTTGACCTGCTAACGTTGACCAATTTGACTGAAACTAATCATCTTAAATTTCTAACACAAACTAAAACTTCCGTTAACCAAATGGCAAATAGAACCACAACCAGAGCCGCCAATATCATATGGATACATGTATGCTTTCTTCAATTACATAGTCTGTGCACTTCTGAGACTAGCTCATTAATATACTTGCTAAACCAGATAGAAGTTCAATCCCAACAAAAAATGGTACGTGCAACACCACACTCGAGGTAAATTTCCTACAGTTTCACATCACATTATCTGCAAAATTATGTTTTCATTCAGCCTCCGAATCATCGGTATCACTATCCAGGTACATCTCCACCGCTTCACTGTGGGTAACCGCTGCATCGTCTTCTTGTCTTCTTGTTTCATCTTCTCGGGCTCTCTCGGCTGCTCGCTCTATTGCAACATCAAGCCTATCGCTGACCACCTCCCATGAAACGAGTTTTTCCAAAAAGATGGAAACATAATCAGCTCTTCGATTCTGCAGAACAAATGCTCTCAAATGTGATGCTGTTACACGTTTATTCCAAGTGCGCATGCATAAACCAGAGTTTATGGGAACTGACCTCGTAATCAAGATAGTAAGCGTGCTGTGTGGCCAAACAAAATTTGCATCAGGGTCAAGTTACAAAGTAATCTGGAAAGGTGAAAGTAAAATAATTCATAGAAGAATTTACCTCCCAGACATCGATGGCAAGGAGTGGCTGCAACAAGACAACAATTTCTGGTTAGATCTGAACTAATCAGTAGAGATTACATAATATGAATTACAATAAGGTAAACAGAGAACCAAAGTTGTCACAAATATAATTTGAATATGGATAGAAATATCATCTTACTGACACAGTGACTTAATGATGCAGATCTAGCCAAATGCCTAAAAATTTAAAAACGATCAAGATGTGGTGTCAATAATCACAAGGGCTGTGATACCAATCATAAAGATGTATGGTTAAACTACCGGTTCAATAGTTTGTATTCAATTAGAGTGATCTAATTAACCTACCAGATCAACAATTTGTAAAACATGAATCTTGTCTGTAATGCTTAAAGACCAAGTTATTAATCGAAGGCAAGTTCACCCATACTGAAGAACCCATTCTTTCTTCTTAATGCTAGATTCGATGAACAAGTTTGGTTTGCAACTAAAGGAATCATTTCTGCAGCACAAGAAAGTTGGATCAGGATATCAAGAATCTAAATTCCTCCTAGTTATTATTATTGTATCCACTAACAGTCAAATATTTCAAGCAAATCTTGTACTTCCTAAAAAGATTCAAAAAGATTATATTTAATTCTAACACAGAGTTCTTTAAAGAGATACATACAATTAATAGGGCATAGCAATATAGATATGAATATACATGCAATCATTTATAGTTTTCCTTTCAAATTTTTTTTTTTTTTTGTCAATTTGATTTTGTACGAGATCTATCACGCTATCTTTGCCTTCTTGATGAGTCCAAATATCAAAATCCTAGTTGCCAATCTATAAGAAAAGAGAAAAAAGAAAACAGATTTGGTGTACTTTTATTTATACTTCCGTACAGCAAGCCAAACTCTAGAAAAACACAAACTTAAGTTAACAGAGGAGAAATGACAATGTCCGTTGGATATCCAATGTGTATTATCATTCTCGAAATAACAATGTGTGTTGGATATCCAATGTGTACTATCATTCTCGAAATAAACATAGTCAAACAAGAAACTGGTGGCAGATCTAAATGGGGAAAAAATGATGTTTTGTTAAACCCTAGATTCATGGTTCCAGTGATCCCAACCCTGCTACATATGTAAACTTATATCATGATCAAGGATTCAAATTTTGAATCGTACCACCCGTACCGAGTGGTACATACCGGTCTGCCCACCACCAGACAATACGCTTGATAAAGCCCCGTATTAGACGATACGGGGTTGTATCGGGCGGTAACGGTCAAAATTTCAATCGTTATCACCCGGTACAAATTTTGACCGTTACCGCGCGGTACACGTCAACAAGGTATTAGTCAAATTTATGCACGGAAGGGGAAGAGCAAGGCAGTGGATAAATTCGAGTAGATGCGATAGAGCCTACACAACGTAGACACAGAACAAAACTCATCGTATTTACAGCCATTGTATTATGGAGAATCTTATGACTAGCAATAGTACGGTGATAGTTGGTCATACTTCTCCGAGCAACACTATGATACGGAGCAACAGATCAGTAGCGAAAGTAGAAACTCTGCCATTCACCGATACATGCCTCAAGAGTTGCCTCGAACACATGTGATTTATGATGATCAACCTACGATCATCACCACATTGATGCACCAATAGCATATGGTGTATCAATAGATTATGTCGTGGGATCAATTTCAGGATTGGATCTAACAAACATATCATATTGATATGCAGATACATAGGATCGAGGACCCTGATCCACCATCAGTGGAGGACTATCGTTCGTTTTGATGGTAGAATCTGCAATCAGGTATATCTACATATATGATTATTTAATTCATTTAAATTTTCAAGTCTATATTGTAACGAAATAATCTAATAATTCAAATAATTTTCTATAGATAATTGAATATTAACAGAAGGACAATTCGTAATTGATCGAAATTGTGAACTTTGCACAAGGCTATTCCTTAAAGCCCGAAAAAGATATGTGGCACTATTCTTACTTAATTTACATTGATTTTACTAAACATATACTAAATGTATATTTATTTCTAACTTAAAAACCCTATCCTAACTTTTTTTTCTTCTATTTTTAGGTACTTTCAGAAGATTTTACGTCTAAATTAGGCATACCGCTCGATACGCCGCACCATAATTCCAAAATGGTACGAAATTCCAAACCTTGATCATGATTATCTCAACAAATAACATTTTATAGAAATAATATTGTATACAGTGGGTAATTCACAAGAACAATTGTAAAATTGTTAGTCACATAAAACCAAAATGAAAATTTTAATTGGAGATAACACTTACAGAGTAATCCCAAACGATAGGATTCACTGCATTTGGAGACTTTAGCACAACAAGCTTATTGCCCTTTTCTGAAGGACATGGATTAACAGCATTCCCAACATCTAATCTGTTTGCCTTGTCTGATATAGAAAAAAGCAGGAAGATAAAATCCAATTAAAACCACATTTTTCTTAAATTAATTTTTAGCAGCAGTGCCCTCAGAGATAGAGCAGGTCATGACTTACAGACAAGCCAAGCCCACCCAGAACCAAATTGTGTCAGTGCAGCTCTTTTAAATTCTTCCAACATTCTATCAAATGAACCAAAGTCCCTCTCGATGAGTTCCATAAGCCTTCCAGATGGTCGTCCTCCACCGCCTGGCTTGATGGATTGCCAGAAAAAATCATGATTCCAAACCTAGCAGTAGCACATCCAGAAAGCAAATGAATCACAAACAGCAAGAATGTAAAAGAAAGATAGTGCCAAACATCACTCAATTTGAGTCCTTACAGTTATTTGACACAAGACCTGGACGTACTACCTAAGCCATTCTAAATTATTCAACAGTGCAAGCTAGAAGAGGCAAACTCACAAGCACATTGCGCGCACCAAAGAATGTTCTACTAGAAATGCACAACAGCAGGGTACCACAGCCAGTAATTGAATCAGATTGACTAATTCACACGCAACACGGACACAAGTGTAAGCGTGATGCATTTAATTTTGTTTTCTTGGAATGGCAAGCAAAAAGACGCCGAGACGGCTGGAAAGAAGATAAAGACAAGAAGTAGGAGTCTCCAGGGTGTCAGGATGATTGGTTACTGTTACCTGGGCGGCATGGACGAAGAGAGGGAGGGGGTTGCCCTTGTTGTAGGAGACGACGACGATCTCGTCCAGTCCCATTCCGTCCAGGTCCGTCCCCGCGATAAGATTGTTGAGGGAGGCAACATGGGCACGGTGATGCCTTCCCCAGTGGTATTCCAACGTCTCGCGGCTCATGTGTGGCTCCAAAGAGCTCTGTGCCCACCACCACCAGATGAGAAAAGAATGAGCCATCATGCCGGACAGACAGAGGAGGAGGTAGAATTCAAAGGCGCTACGGCAAAATCATATTTTGCTATTGCGTGGTAAGTAGCCAGATTTACCAAGGAGTAGGGAGGAGGTTTCAGTTCCAACTGGGCGGCGATTCGTGCACACCGCGGAAGGCGTCGGCCGCCTTCCCTCTGCCACGAGAACTGGTAAGGTCAGAACAAGAAGAAGAAAGGAAGGAGTGTGAGAAGGAAGGAGTCGCAAACCTTAATCTTCGACCACCGGAATGACAGTGGCGGCGGCGGCAAGCTCGGCCTCACTCCTCCACAACAAGAAAGAGTGTGATGCTGCATGCTTCTTTCAGCTTTCCCCCTCCGCCGGAGGTGCTTTGGGTTATCTCCTCTGGCTTATTTCTTCCTTTCAGGGGGGATGGCCGCTTCAGCGGAGATGGACGATCCAACGGTGCCCACCAAATGTGTGATGACGGACACTTGATTTATTATATCAAATAATATAAATGACGAATTCGAATATGAGATCAATAATACCAATCAATTCAAAATTAATATGTCTTAAACTAATAATTTTTTTATTTACCTTTTATAAATTACATTTAATATTATATTTATCTTGTAGAATTTTAAAAGTTAGAAAATTGTGCAACGAAAGTATATGACTATAAAAAAATTAAATTAAATTAAATTTCAGCATAAAAAATAAAACTTCAATCGAAATTAATTATTTATATAATTAATTAATTAAAGTTTACGGCTCAGCCTCTCTCTCTCTCTCGTTTTGTTCCCTTATTCAAGGCTGTGCTATCGAACACTCCTTTATGCCTGAACGAAAGATTAGATCTTTGAAGGAAACAAAATAAAGAGGGGATCAAAACCTGCAAAAACATCATCAACCTGAAAGAGACGGAGATCAAATGCGCATCGGAGAAAGGAGAAGGAGCGACGAAAGTGAGGAATCCATGTTGGAGAAGAGGATCACGTGCAGAGGTAATGAGGGTCGAAGCCGGGCCTCTGCACGTGACCTGCTTCTCCAACAAGGGTCTCCTCACCTAAACAAGACCGTCCATGGACGCCATCGAAGCATCAGTCGCAAGGGCGGCACCTCCTCTTATACAGCAGCACTACACAGGGGGAGAGGAGGAGGGAATGGAGTATAGGAATGGATCTGGCAATGGGAGAAACGTATGGAGCATGGAATGGGGAGGCCCCTCCGCCAGTCTCAGTGTTGGGCCTGCAATGCCAAAGCACAGAATCCTCCTCCTCCTCTCGCTCCTTCCCTGACGTTGTTCGTTTCTCTACAAACGTACAACCATGGCAAGGCAACCCACCTAATTATTGGAAGATTAATGATGGTGTTGCATCAATGATAGATATTGAGTGCAAGGAGCCACCCATTTAATGTTTTCTTGTTTCTCTTCACGCCTGGTTGACGCGAGGTGAGGAGTGGGGCTCCATTCGTTAGAGATTCGAGGATAATATGATCGAAATGTGGACAACTCTAAGCCTTCATATTTGCTTTGCTCCTATTAATCCATGTATCATCATGCTATCCATATCAATACAATTCACTAAGAACGACAATCCATCGTAGGAAAACGAGGACAAAGATTACTTGGTAAACATCACCGGCAACAAGCACACGCAATATGGTAGCAGCTTCCAACCACATGAGATTGTGCAAACAACAACGAATGGGACACGATGAGAAGGAAAAGTCCAAAGTAAGAGCAACCTTAGTCAGCTAAGCAACATCCTATGTTGTTGTCCGTTTAAACGTACGTCAAAGCATGTCATCGCTTTCGTAAATTCTATTTTAACCACATTTAATTGGCCGTGTTATTTTGTTGCAACATCAACTTCATCTACAAGTTCGTAATCCCCGTTTCCCTTCACACCTACTTCTTTTGATCCATGGATAACCCTTGAGTCATTACGTACATCAACATGATTATGGTAGATCACCAGCTATTCCATGGATCCAGCTTGATGGAATCTTCATTGACTTGATGGGCCGGGCTGGCCCAATGTTGGTTGGGTATCCTTTTTGACTCAAACCTAATGATTAGTTGGTAGAGCGCCGCATAATTTATATTATGTTGATCTAATGTGCAGTAAATAACGTCGCATCTCCGAGCTTTAATTCATTTTTTGTTCTTCATGCCCTTTGGGCCCCACTCTGTGGACTTCTCGTATCCTAAGAAAATGTCGCGTGGGGTCAACAGAGCTGCCTAATTTGACACGTCACTAATGGAAAGTTCGCTCCGTGTCCTCCCAGACATGGAGCCCACACGTCACGTCAGTAGTGCCCTGTGTGGCCCACTTCGCAGGAGCCAGACACTCTGGGCAGAGAAGAAGCGTTGACGTGTGCACCGGAGTGTCGCCGGAAGCGTGTGGGGCAAGCAGTTCTACTAAGCTTTTCTTGCAGTAGGTAGAATGCATTAGCGCGTTGCAGCTTTTCCTACGCACGCCACACCCTACGTAGACATGCCCGATCGAGCTCCATGTCCTCGCCAGTCGCTGTTGCTGCCAAGTCGGTCGGTGGAGGTAGAGACCACAAAACTTGAACATGAAGGAGTTGACTACGAAGTCGTCTTCGCGAGGGAAGAAGAATGGCATCTGAGAATGGAATCTCGGTGGTCCAAATGCCCCAAGCATCACCGCCGGCTTGTAAGACGAAACGCTTCTGCGAGCGCAATCCAATTCAGCTTCTTCCTCCTCCTGTAAAGATCGTAGCAGCACTTCGCTTGCTATTAGATCTCTCTCTATATATACGTATCTCAAATCCTCTGCTTCAGCTTCAATCGTCGACCCTGACCAGCTACATATAGCTAAAGTAAGACGGTCATCCATGGACGAGATCTTGGTGGTGCCGTTCCCGCACGCGGGGCACATCTTCCCGGCCACCCAACTCAGCGCTCACCTGGCCCGCCGCAATTACAAGGTCACCCTCCTCCTCCCCTCCTCCTCCTCCGCCTCCTCTCCTCCCCACCCTCTCGTCCGAATCGTTGACTTCTCCCTTCCCCCCACTAACCGCATCCAGCCCCAGCTCCTGGAGGACACCCTCCACGACCTCCTCGCCGGAATCTTCCAGCATTTCGGCTTAGAACACCACCACGACGCCTCCTTTCCTTCCTCTCTTCCTCGTAAACCTCCCCTCTGCGTCATCGTCGACGACATGATCAGCGGCCTCATCGACACCTGCGTCCAGCACCGGGTCCCGGTCGTCAGCTTCTTCACTTCTGGCGCCTGCGCGGCCGCTCTCGACCACGCAACCTGGGAACTCTCACCGGAGGACTTCGCCTCCGCTCCCCTCTCCACCGCCGTCACCATCCCGGATCTGCCCGCCGAGATGGCCCTTACTACCTCCGACATCAGCAGCCGGCACCAGCCCTTCGGCGGGCCCGGCAGCGTCGGTGGGCCCCGACGACGGAGGGGGATAGCTGGGGCGGACGGTGCGGTCGCGCTGCTTGTCAACACGTGCGACGAGCTGGAGCGTCCCTTCCTGGATTACGTCGCCAAGAAGGCGGGGAAGCCAACGTGGGGCGTGGGCCCGCTGCTGCCGGACCAGTTCTGGGCGGCGGCCGGACCGGTGCGAGATGGCGAGGTCCGATCGGGACACGAGTTCGGCGTCGACGAGAAGGAGCTGGTGGAGTGGTTGGACGCGAAGCCGCCGAGGTCGGTGATCTACGTCTCGTTCGGGTCACTGGTGAGCCCCGCGGACGACGAGCTTTCCCAGCTCGCGGCCGCTCTGGACGAGTCGAACCGACCCTTCCTCTGGGTCATGCAGACCAAGTCGAGGAAGTTTGACCCGGCGGGGCAACCGATAGAGGACACCGGCGACGGTGGTAACGGCTTCTTTTCCGCAGAGGCGGTGGCGAGGCGAACCGAGGGGAGGGGGCGGGGGATGGTGATCCGGGGGTGGGCGCCGCAGCTGCTGATCCTGGGCCACCCGTCGGTAGGGGGTTTCGTGAGCCATTGCGGGTGGAACTCTACGGTGGAGGCGCTGGTGTGTGGGGTGCCGATGTTAACGTGGCCGGTGCGAGGGGATCAGCACCACAACGCTAAGCTGGTGGTGCGCCGCCTGGGGACCGGATGCGCGATCCGCGACTCCGAGAACTGCAGCTCAGCGGCGGCTTTGACGAAGGAAGACGTGGTGGCGGGGATCGAGAGGGTGATGGTCGACGATGGCATCAGGCAGCGCGCGGCTTCGGTGCGGGCCGTCTTCGCCGGCGGGTTTCCTGAGAGCTCAACCTCTTCCTTGGATGACTTTTTGGCGTCACTCTCGTTAGAGTAGCTGTACTAATTCAGCTTCCTTAGAGCAAATCCCTCACTATCCTTTCCCCATCTCATCATACCTTCAGAGGGCGAGAGGAGGGGAAGTGTGTCGCGTAGAGATGTCAAAATATCGTTGTGCCTATCGATTGAATGCAAGTCACTTTCTTCTCACAGTTCAGTGCAAAACGGATGGTTCATCTGGATTTTGTAGTGTAGAAATTGGTGAGGCCGAACAGCATTAGGCTATATTTTGGTACATGTATTGACGTTGTCAGGGAGGGACGCAACCAATACATAAGAGTGCCATCCATATTATGGAGAAAACAACAGACGATAGATAATATGGCGGATGGGTTAATCGATTCAGAGAAATTACAATAGCAACACACTGAAGTAATCGGTCACAGGCGAAAGAAACAGGCTCTCATCTTGTTGACGGCAGCTGGCCAGCGCGGTCCCCTGTTCCTCAAACTAATGACCGCGCACAGGAGGACGAGGACGAAGACCCAGATCAGGAGGTCCATGACCAACCAGGTATTGGCTTGCGACGAGATGAAGGCGAGCACCAGGTTGGAGTAGGCCACGGCAAAGGGCCAGCGAACGAGGCGGGAGGCGACGGGCACCCTGGTGAGCAGGGCGACCGTCATGAGTATGGAGTTGCCGAACCCCATCCAGCTTGCCGTCATGAAAAGCCAGTACCTCTTGCGGTGCTTGTCGCGCAGGATGGAGTCGCCGGCCTCGTGCCCGTTGCTGTCTTCTTGGTAGTACCCGCCCGGGAGATTGGTTCCCAACTGATAGGTGAGCGCGGTTATGAGCGTCGCCACCACCAACAGAGTGTTGCTGTCGTTGTGATCCCAGCCATGGTCCTGCTGCGGCTGCGGCTGTGGCTGTGGCGCTGTCTCTTCTTGGTTCCTTTGCTGGTGTGGCGCGGCGTTGCCCATCTGACCCATCTCAACGTTGATGGGAATCTGCGTCTGCCCAGACATCGGAGATGAAGATGAAGATGATGATTCTGATTCTTCCATAATTAATATAGTTGGATGCTTATCTTCATGGATTGGTAGGCGACGGCCGTAGCGTAACATCGATCTGATGACTTGACTTGGAACCTTCCAAGTACCATCGACCTGATGTCAGAGAATATGTAAAAGAAAACGAGGACAAGTTACGGGTAAACCCCTCTTAGAAAGCGCATACGGATGCTTTGAACTCGTCAAGCTTAGTGGTCCCGATGCTCTCTCTAGGCAACATCATTGGGACTATGAATATATACTTGGAGTTGACAGTACACGAACCTGATCACTGGGGTGATATGAACTGTTAATAGGTAGTCAATCTACACTTCCATATGCAAACCATCTATGGTTTATTATCCGAAGCCCTCCAACGGTTCTTGGCTTTGCGACTTCTATGCAAATAAGTTTATTCTATCGCAACATTAGAAAACGCAAACGCTACAATTCGAATCAAAGTAGCGCAGCAAGTCGGTCACAAAATAACGGAGTCCCTTTCGTCATCCAATAATACAAATGGGCAAGACTTGAAAGATCGGAGAGTGGGAAGTAAAACCAGAATGATTCACTTGTATAAGGTGGTGAAGAAACACCGCTACGCGTGGGAACAATGAATCCAATACTGTCAGCCAACAGCTTATACATTGGGAGCACTCGCTTCGAGAACTGGTACTAGAGCAGATGACAGCTCCACATGGGATACACGGACAGCACCGATAAGCCGTTCCGGAAGCTCCTCATAAGTGTTTGCCTGTGAACAAAGCATCACTAATCAAAGATGACATATGTAGAAAATCATAAAAATTTTACAGCATCAATTTGTATCTTTCAAGAGGAAAAGGAATTAGTTCACGCTTCATTATGTTCTGATATCAGACCTATGAACTCGGTGCTGAATTCCTTGCCAAGGTAGTCATTGCTAACACAAGTTCAACATGTGGTCTCAAGCTCAGAAGGACCAGCTCCAACTAGTTGGTGGATACTGACAATTAGTCATTTATGATAAGGCAAGCAAGCGAGCCATCTTGCTAGGCCAGGATAATTATAAGCTTATAACTGCCTTATTGTGCTTATTTAATCAACAAGCAGGAATTTTCATAATTTCTAAGCCTAAATTTTCATGGTGAATGACAACTCAATGCAAGATGGAGAAATGAAAACATTTGTTAGATGTCCTTCCGTCAAAAAAAAAAAAAAAGTTTTCAACAGAAAAACTTGTGATGTGACAAATAGAAAAATAAAATTTCAACTAGAGGACAATATTGAATTTTGATTTAGATATAAGAAAAGTTCACTGCATTATACCACTCGGTACGAGGGTATATATCGATCCAATAGGAGACTGGTACGAGCGATATATCAATACGCTCCTGTGTACCATGTGTCATTATGCTTGATACGACTTGTTATAACTTAGTACATAACATACAAATAGTTGGTTGATACATTGGTAAAGATCAGTAAAAGTTTTCACTTTTTTATAGGATTGTACAACCATCGACTTTGATGGCATGCAAATAGATACATGAAAATTGAATAGAAATTACACCGAATAACCCTCATAAGAGAGACCAAATACTTTGGCTCTGCTTAATGACGTCTGTTAATAGGACCAAATCATCCATTGCTAGAACATATTTGTGCAATAACATCTCTCAGTTCAAGCAAACTAATAAGCAATGATTTCAATAGGTGCTCGAGCGAGGTGAGGCCCGAGCGTCTCGCTTCATTTCTAGGCAGTATGCTTCAAAGAGGCGTCGCCTGGGCGCTCGCCCGAGCCCAAGCGTCGACGCTTCGAGCGAGCGCTCGAGTTAAACTAGGCAACCAAACTAACGTTTTAGGTCTAGTTCGGTCTTTAGTGCTTTAGTTGGTTCAATCGAACCAACTAAAGCACCGATATCACCCTTCCTCTTGCAACTTCCCAACCCTAACCCTGGTCGCCGCTCCCATGCTCGCTTCTACCGCTGCCACTGTCGCCACTCGTCATTCCTACTCCCGCTGTCATTGCTCGCTACTCCCACTACCACTGCCACTATAGTCGCTCGCCACTCCTGCTCCCGCTGCTCACTGCTATCACTATCGCAACCATTGTCGTCGCTCGCTGCCTCCGCTCCCGTTGTCGTTACTTTTAGTCAGCAGCCTCGATCTTCCTCTTACTCACACTCTTCTCACTTTGATAGTATACTATTAACAATATATTAACAGTATTTTTCTAATTACATATTAGTAATAGTATTTTTATTTATTAGATTAATAATATAATATTTTAATTTTAATACTGTTAATTTTTATTTATTTGAAATTATTATTATTGTTTTGAATTTTGAGACTTTTTGTTAATGTGATATTATGATTTTACAAGATTTTCTTAATTTAATATCATATTTTTTTATTTAAATAATTATATTTATTAATTATATTATATATTTTATATTTTAGCATCTAGATTCGCTCTGGAGAGCGCCTAGCGCCTCGGACATTTTTGGACATTGACGTCTTTTGACGCCTAACGCTTTTTAAATCACTGTTAATAAGAGAATTCAAACTTCAACTTTTCTAATAATATCACCAACATAGAAGTATGCATGCCATCATATGATGTGGTGTATCTATTTAGGATATAGGAGTACCTGCACAAGAAAAGCCATGTCAACTACTAATGTTGTAATCACACCAAAAACAAGCCCCAGAACGCCATTAGCCACTGTAGAAGAACCAATATCGACATCAATCTGCACCAGATAATGACTGTTAGTCATCATGCACATATTAGCTCTGATTTAGAATTCATTTTTTTCCAACACTGCTATGGACATTAGAGAATAGTTTCCTGTGGTAACTTACTTCCAGGTAATCTGGTCCACGAATGTACGTACAGTCAACTGCTTTACCTAATAAACAGGGAGTGCTTCCAACACTCTGGCGCACAATCCAGGAGCCCTGCACAGAAATGTACTCGAACTAAAATGCATCGCCTACATGTTGCAGGGAAGCCTTACAGGCTATCTCATGTCATTTGATGAAATCCCACTTAGCGTGAGGAGGAAACATATCGTAAAAAAACTAATAATAGAGACATTGTTGTGTACTTGTGTAATTTGACTTCATGATTCAGATTTGATCGGCTTAAGTAGGACAGAGATTAAAAGCTTCTTGAAGAAGATGACAACCTTGGGAACGGCTGGAATAAGCTTGAACCTACTATTTCGGTACTCATCATCACCATCAACAAAAAGCTGCAGCAGTGATCCAGGAACCAGTGGTTTTGACACAAAGTAGAAGACCATACTATAATGAGTCGAAGCTGGAACCTGCAAATAACATGAAATTCATTTCTCACACTACTTCAGAGTCTTTAGACACCCAGAAAAAAAAATTTGCATTAACAAAATAACCATCTGTTGTCTGAAATCTTGAATTTGCTTGGAGATGCTACACAATCTCTGAGAAACTATAACCTTAGCATATAAATAAATAAATATATATATATATATATATATATACATATATATGTATATATATATAATGTTCAAGGATGCAGATAACAAGCAGACAAGTCTAGGACTGTCCTATTCTCCTGTCAAGTTGATTTACAACTAAAGGAACAATTTTTAGAAATGCATAAGTCACATATTTAAGAATTAACTCAGGAATATATGTGTGTAACTGTGTATCAACTTTCATACCACATTATAGAGACCCAGAAACCAAACAAATTCTAAGATGCAGATCTTTCACAGTCCGTAGATCTTTTAAAAGTTCTTGAGAGCATACTTTATCCTACACGAGAATGACCAATGCATTCACATATGAATTATTGAACTATAATTCTGTAATTGATATATTTGAGATCTTATCAATTACGCAAATACCATACAAGATTATATCTGAGATCACATTTGCTTTATACCACTACTCAAGTAGTAAACAAGAGTCAATTAGTATCAACAGAGGAAATATGTTAAACAATAATATATTTTGAAATGAATGGAAGCTTACTTGCACATTTATCACCAATGAGAATAGTCCCTTCTCGGAGGCAACCTACATTTCCAATGTAAAACTAAGAACCTAACAGTGAAACCTCAATTTTATTTTTTTGTGGCACATGATATGAGAACATATGTAAATCGTATTTCAAAGCAAATATATACAAAACGTTTAAACTATTAAACTGCATTTCAATAATAACCAGTCAGTTATTAAAGATATTCTAACAAAAAAACCTTAATTTTACAAGTATAATATTTCATGTAAAAATCATGAAGAAAGAACTTAATGCATGCGTTCAAATTTAATATATATTGGATCGTTTCCTAATAACTTGAGCTTTTGGGAGTATTGATAACACATTCAAAATATTTATCAGGTATCAAAACAGATTGAGTTTGACTCTTGTATTTGCCCCTTTATATTTCACGATGTTTAACTATAATTTGTACAATACACTTCTCTTTAATTGGCTTGTACCATGCTCTTGGGCTCAGTTTTATGTCACACCTAATCCGATTTGTAGATAAGATGGGATGTTAGAGTTTAATATATATCGGGTCCCTTCCTAAAACTTAAAGCTTTTGGGATTACTGGTAACCCAGCTATTTATCAGTTAATCAGGGTCTTCACTAAATGCCAAACCACAGTTAGAGATAGTTAACTGATGATCCAGCAAATAAAGCCAACTGGCATTTTGCTATTGCTTTCAGCCAACTCAGGCATAACAGATTAGAGGCATTGATCATTTGTAAAAATTGGCCCTCATATACATTAACAAAATACGAATCATGACAAGTTTATCCTCATTACTGTGGGCAACATTAGCCTCTACATCGGGCAGTAACCTTGGCCTCAACTATATAGTGAAGTGTCAGTCAGATGCCAAGCAAGAAAAATGGAAGGATTTATAGTTGGGATCAGAACTTACTAGAATATTAAAAGTGAATCAGTGAATGCTGAATTGCAGTTCATATATGCAAAAACTTTTTTCAAACTGAGTTGGACAAGTAAAATTTAAAAGAATGAAAAAGATAAAAACAGTTAGATGAGGATTGATCTTGTTTTTAGCTTATAGAAGCAGCCAACAGACAAATTCCTAGAAATTCATATAGAATAAACTAGTTAATATTCAGACTTCCTTACAGCATATTGGAAATATGCTTAAAAGGGTTTCAATGCGAAATTGTTAGTTTTCAGAGAAATAATAGCTTGGAAGACTGGTAAGCCTTGCTTCCCCGCAAAATAAGAAACATAAGAAATAATAAATTTTGATCACAAAACGTTTACCACAAATCACTCCTTTGGGCTCTGATCTTACACCATGAAAAAAGAAGAATAAATTCATATTTTATGCTTTTAGGATCAAATAAGAAATGTTACACCCATCATGAAATAAGAAAATTGGAGATTCAACCTTATATATTATCCACATTGATGTGTCATATAAAAAAAACTAAATGTTACAATCCAGGGGATTCAATCTCATTGGAACCAGTCTGTACTGACCGGTATTTACCAGTCCTATTGGGCACCAAGACACTGACCATCCCATTTCAGAGTCTGGTCCCTTTTTCTTCAAACAACATATGTTTTTTATCGGAATATTTTTTTTAGGCCCTCATGACTATAATGGCTCATAACTTGCAGGTCTGTCTCCCTCTCTATGTCGTCACCCATCTGCCATCACCTGTTGCTTACCACACACCTCATATTTGGTACTTCTCATCCTCTCCTCCTCTTCTCCCTTTCCTCCCTCTTCCCTCTTCCCCCTCCCCACCTCCACACACGACACCACCCCTACCCCCCAGCCCCGCCCCTGGAAATGTACATTCCTGGAAAATCTACAAGTTGTTTTTCTAAATACAGTTCAATATGGCTCAAAAATAGATAGTGTGTACTGGAGTTCTAGCTACTGAATTCTTAGAACTAGAAAATTCTTCTATCTACTTGATAGAAGATGAGATTCCACAAGTCCATAATTAGATACATTAAACATTAAGGACTTCCATATTAGCTTCATTACATGCTGCTCTCTTTTAGCTGCAAGAACTGATATTGAGCTAAAGCAAAATCCAGAAACTCTAAAGAAGTTTTGATATCATTATTCTCCAAGTACGTGTAATATCAACCAGATAGTTGGATCCACTGCAGAGAGATCATGGATAAAATTATACAGAACATGGGTAGCTTTCTAAAAAAAATCAGATAGTTGCTTTGAGGCAGTCGCCTTTGAGGATAAGTAATCATCGTTAATTAAAATTTGAATCTATGAGATTGTTCTTAAATAATACTTCCTCTTTTGTCATAATATGAAAAATGCAATTGTTCCAAACAAATTGCAGGCCCTTATCAGCCATTAGAGTTATAATATTTCCTCAAGAACACTCTAACTGCACATTTCAAGATTTCAGAATGACTGGATGATCACCGTTGTATTGGTTAAGTTCAGAAATTTCAATAAGAATTTTTTAGTAATTGAACAAATAATCTTTAAAGAGAAACTTAGACAAATAGTCAGTATCGAGCTACTGAACCTCAATGCCATTCATAAAACTTTTATAACAAACAAAACTAAAATGCAGATTTAATAAGTAACAATTTAGTAATCTTCAGTCTCCCAACAGGAGCAAAAAAAGAATGAAATATTAAGCTTATAATGCTGCAGAAGAGACGCTTACTTGGACTGCACAGCCTTTTCGCCTAGCAACATGGTCGATTCGCTTGACATCCTTGAACCAATCAACAGCTACAAGCTCCATTAGATGCTTTCCTGCAGGAATCTGCAATCCACAGAGTAGAAATTTTTATAGATCTAAAGTATCATTTAATGACATCCAAAACCAACTATACACAATATAGAAAAGCATAATGAGACCTTAGTCTTGTCATATATGAATTGTTTACTTCGAACTCTGAAATTGTTCCCGTCAGATATTCTCCAACAATTACGGCTTTTGTCAAGGTCATCACGCCGTAAGTTGCCAGAAAATTCTGATAAATCAATTGAAGCTGAAGGTTCCTCATCCAAACCTAGAGGAATTCAGAATACAACTATTAGGAACCAGCCCAACTTCAATCTCAATTACAAAATTATGAAATGGGTAAACATAATATACAAACCAGCCTTATTAAACTCATTTTCAAGTTTGATTGGATAAACCTGCAGACATTGCAACACTGTCATCAATACAAATAAGGCAAAAATATTAACACAAAGTCACTAATAGTAGCAGCCTTCCAACCTCTTGTTCAGGCTCTGGAATTTGATAATCTTCATCATCATCAGAGTCTTCATCCAACATTACATGATGTCTGCTAGCACCATGCATTTGATACTGTGAAGAATTCGGCTGAACAGAATTTTCCTGTGTTTTCCTATCCTTCTTAATAGGAGCTGTTTCTGCAGTCATATTGACCATCAATGGCATCTTTGAGACATCATAATTTTCATCTGTTTGGGAGAACCATTCACGGAGCCCTGCCATAAGAAAAGGTGTAAGCACTCATCAGAACATTAGAAGACACCGATAGCTATAATAGTGAGTAAGCAGTAACTTTGATGAACTAACTCAGGTGGTTATCTATTAAAAATTAAAACACTAGAAGATAAAGAGGACAATGCACATATGCAGCAAAGATATCTTTTTCTAGCCAGCAAAAGTATATCACAAAAAGGTCTTCTTTGTTCGCTAATTATCAAGGCAGCATATGCTGCAGAAGAAATATATGATACCATGGGCAATGTGATCATATGTTGAAGCAAGAAATTTACTTGAATTATGACATCCTAGGCACTGCTGAAGAAACTGAAACAAACTAGAATTGGCTGCTACCCTGGGAGTTACAATGTCTAGTGGACAATTAAGACCTGATGATATTCATCTAATCATTGTTACAATATTTCAGGAGAGAAAGTAACATCCATATCAGCATCATTTATTTGGTAACATTTCTATTAATTGAAGGTCAAGTCTTATGGGCTCTTTTAGACGGTGACTACGAAGAATTATGAACCACAATGCATGCTAAGCAACTAAACAGCATTAATAATCAAAAGTAAAGTTGTTTTAAAAGAAAAGCGAAAAGAAAAAGATAAATCAAGTCTAAACATGTCTCAATAAAGACATCTGCTATGAAATAGAGAAACAATTAAATTATTATAGTTAGAGAGGATCAGTACCAGCAACACTGTTCAACATCTGAATCAAACAATGTTGCTGAAATGATGGGAAATAACCAACGCCCCATCCTTTCAGATCAATTTGCATAAGATATTGTACTTGTGTCCGCAGTCTTCCATTGCAAGTTTTTAGGGGGGAAATTTTGAAACCCCCACCTTGAGAAAGAAAATAATTAAATACATTTTCAGATAACTGAAAATATTTACAATACAATAGACAAGTGCATATACAAATAAATAACAAATGTTTTTAAAGTAACAAAGCACGTGGAAATATACTCTCAACATGGGCTCTAACGAATCCTGGCTGTGGACTACAATTTACATGCTCCCTTGATCGGAATAAAACAACTGCAAGAACCTACAATCAGTTTTTGGGATTCCTAACAATGGCAAACATCAAGGCATGTTACAAACGAGAAAACAAATGAGACTAACATTCTCACCATAACTTCCATCATCATTACGTCTCCAATAACGCACATAACATAGATCACGAGGCCACACAAACCTGCCAAATAATCTCCATTCTTATTCATGGCAGAATCATAGGCATAAATCCTTCTAACAAGTAACAAGTATCTTTGTGAACAGTTCAAGATTCCTTGCAAAGCTAAATACACAATATCTTATGAAAGTGGCATGTTGAATGATTATGAGCTTCACAAGTTAGCAAAAATATATAAGACAGTGATTTAAAAAGCGCTAGGCGCCAAAAGGCGCTAAAGTCCAAAAATGCCCGAGGCGCTAGGCGCTCGCCCGAGCGAAGCGAGACACTAAAATATAAAAATATATAATATAATTAATAAATATAATTATTTAAAATTTTAAATAAAAATATGCTATTAAATTAAGAAAATTAACAGTATTAAAATCAAAATAATATATTATTAATCTAATAAATATAAATACACTATTATTAGTATACTAATAACAGTATACAAAAGGAGAAAAGGGAAGAGGAAGCGGCAGCGGGAGTGTAAGGAGGCAGCGGCAGCGGCAACGGGAGTGTAAGGAGGCAACGAGAGCGGGAGCGACGACAACAGCGAGCAATGACGAGCAGCGACAACGGCAGCGATAGCGACAGCAGCAACGAGCAGGGTTAGGGTTGGGCAGCGATAGCTGATATCGGTTTTAGTTGGTTCAATTGAACCAACTAAACACCGGAGACCGAACCAGACCTAAAATCCTGGTTCGGTCGCCTGGTTTAACCCAGGCGCTCGCCCTAGGCGCTCGGCGCCTCTTTAAAGCGCGCCGCCTGGAAGTGAAGCGAGGCGCTCAGGCCTCGTCTCGCCTCGCTCGAGCACCTAGGCGAGCGCCCAAGCGCCATTTTAAATCACTGATATAAGGTTGCAACACAAGACTAATAGATATATAATTATGTAGTGCAAAAATTTAAATCTCGATCTGGTACCAATTTTAGTAATTTACTGGACATATATGATATTGGCACCCCGGGTGGTATACTGATCCATATTGCACACTATCACTCAAAAAATTTAATAAAATATTATAAAATACTGACCGGTATGGGATCTTATAATCCGATATCAGTCCTTTGTTATACCAGTTAGTACCAATCGTTATACAACATAACCTAGATTACAGCAGTACCAGCAACTAATTACTTATGTACCAAGTACCAACCATTATTTGAAACTATGATATAGTGTACAGATTACATTTGTTGATAAATCCTAGATTATAGCAGTACTAGCAAGTAATTTCTTATGTACTGACTGCCTGACTGGTATTTGGAACCATGATGGTACACTATAGCAGTACTAGCAACTTTTTTTTTTTTGGTCTACGTGCCATACCAAATCTTTTGATAGCACTAGCTCAAAATGGTGACTTGTCAGAGATCGAAAACTTACCAACAATCGTATCCAATATCCTGCACTGATGGTAGCCTCATGCGTGCATCAGATTCAGCCCTATCAAATAGGACACAATCTTACTTTTTGACATACTATAGCAACAGGTGATGGAATTTGGGGCCGAAAATGGTGAAAAAGAAGCCTAAAGGTTGCTTCCCTTCACTCACATGGAGATTGACGATAGCCTTCTAGAGATTGTTAGCATGTCTCATGAATCCACTTGAACTGAAAAATTATGTTTGTTTCAACTTGAGGTATCTAAATTAGGCCTCATGAGCTGCTTCTTGCAATCCACTCATAACTCAAAATAAAATTCCCCTTGACAATAACTTCCATGTAAACTATGTTAGGATATGCCTCTCATAATAAGGCTTCATTCCTTGGAGCAAAAGTACTTCCAATGGACTTAAATGACAAACAGTTTAATTTTTGTTCTGGGAATTTCAAGCGTTGTTATATACTAAATCATTAGAAAAAAGGTTTCCTATTTTATAATTTCATCGCCTCGCAATTCATCCAATTCCAAAAAGAAAAAAATGGAATTATTTAAATTCAGATTCTGATGTCAGACAACCTACCTTAACTATACCATATTCGTGATAGGAGTCATGGACAAGAAGTAGAGTATAAGATAATTTTGCTTCCTAATACATCAGCTGAGATGGATGAAAACCAGCCCAAAAATTACTGAAAACAAGAAGTCTAATCCTACTAGTGCATGAAGAGACTGGGTCAATCCTGTCCTACCAACTTTATTACGAGCAGGTTGGAAGCTTCTTTCTCCTATATTATTCCAACTAGAATTGAACTAAAAATATCTTTGAATTGGACAGCTTGTCTTTCCTTTTCCTACTCCAGCTAGGAGTTCTGTTAGAGCTGCTTTATCCATTTTCAAGCTATTTTGGGTCAATCTGAAGAATATCTTTATTTGAATTTTCCTATAATTCTCACTTAATGAAATCATCTATTCTTATATAAGGAGCATAAAAACATTAAGTATACCATTACTTGGGTCTTCTCATAATATAAATTCTAATAAAAAATTTCTGTCATAAGATCTTTCAATCTATTTTTTCCTCTCTTACGCTAAGAAGTGTGCTTCGGTTAACTAGTCTAATAGAACAGAAGATAAGTAAGTACCTATAACTATAATCTAATCTAGAAACATAATCTTATGTGAGCTACACATATATGGGCATATTTAATATGGTAAAGAAAAAAGTACATGTTTACAAAAGCTATGCTATCAAAATTCACAAATGACGTAGCTAGGCACTACATCTGCATATTGTCTCTCTGAAAGAAGAAGTTAAGGTATTAGTACTTTCACTTCAAGATTAAACAAGAAGACAATTTAATTGCACAACCCCAGTGATCACGCATGTTTCTGGAGCTGGCAAAAGAACAAGGTATGCAGCAGCTATAGCAATTTAAGTCCTCTTCGATGCGCTTAAAAAAAGAATTACACTGGAAACCAGTCCAGCTGCAGCCTATGGTAGAGTATTGCAGTATGTCCATCCACCTCCTCAACTAAACTACCATACTGAAAGCTGCAATCCCACCTGCAAAAGTAACAGAGGGAAACAGATTAAATCAGATAGGTTTATCATACAAATGACTATCTTTAAGTATAAGCTCACTCAAATCGCATTCCATCCATCCTCATCACAAGCTGGAATATAGATTCGCATGTTGCTTCCATGATGCCAACAGCTTTCATTGCTTTACTACAACTCCTTGGCTGTGTTGGAAAATGATTTACATTAATGAAAAGGCTAATGAATTAATTATATCATGAACATTTAGTGTAAACATGTATTACTCACGTACAAGATAATCTACTTCTACAAGCTCCTCAAAGATGCGAAGCCCTGAAATCAACACAAATCATTAAAACAAAAGCAGACAGTAGTTCTTATAATTCTTCAGGCTACAATTTGCTGTAAAATGCAGAAAACAAATAAGATATTAGGAACATGGAAAGATAGAAAAAGAATCAGAGAAATATTTCACCATTTTGGCATCTTACAAGACGCCAATGTTTCCTAGAAAAGACTTGATCAGTGTTGTTCTCACTTAACAAGCCTGAATCAACATCACAGGTCCAATCAGGTACAGAATCAGGAAAAGCTACAAACCAGAAAGTGATGGCCACACTGTACTCTATATGCCACCAAAAAACAGAACATATGTTGCAAATTCATAAATCTAATCAATGTTAGCCCTTACCATTTCCTATGGTTATTCTCCGTGATAAAGTAGGACGGCTCTCTTCTTCTTCTTCAGGACTACACCTACAAGAAATATTAGGAAACTAAAAGATTTTGACATGGCAAATATAAATTTCATTACATCTTTTTCATAAAATCAATGCAAGGTAATCAACACTGAGATGAGATTGTGACTAGCAAGAAAGAAGACATTCCACCATACTATATATAAAATAACAACAATCTGTATGAGTACCAAGACATGTAGAAAAAGGTTAAGATATGCACTCACAATATCCAAAAGTTAAGAACAGGAATAGGTTCCTTATAATTATCAAGCATCCTTATAGTTCAGTTCTCATTGAAACTTCATTCCGTATCTGCTTATGAACAAACAGTAGAGTTTTCAGCAACAATTCAGCAAAATTAAATTACTACATTTTTTTTTTACATCCATTTATGTCTTAAAATTCTTTTTGTGGCCAACAATTAAGAGGCATGGATGCATAACAAATGGATAATATGTATCTTTGCACAGAAATCTTGGCAAATTGGTATCTAGCACATACTAATAATAACATCTGATAGATTTTCATGTTTGCAAATATTAATAGATATGTCATATGTCACACCTATCAATGTTCATCTCAAAGCAAGTATCCTTTCAACTTCTGTATGAGATCAGATTAGGGATACATATACAAGCACACATGCAGAATGTTATCCTAACAGTCCAATTTATGTAAGAGACTATAAGTAAAATTTGCATTTTTTGTTGTCAAATATCAATACTCTAATAAACTTAGTATAGAAGGTATATATTATATTGTCGGCAGAATGGTAGGCTTAAATTCTAAATCACACCAGATTCAGTATCTAAGATAAATAGACAAAAGCATGTTTTCCACTAAACTCTCATCAAATATCCCAGAAAACACATGAGAATATATGATAAAAGAAAGAAACATCAAGGCAAATCTGCATCAAGGCAAATGACATCTAAAGTATCATTTTACCAAAGACAAAAGAAAAAAGCATAAATTAATGGTAGATCAAGTGATAATGCTTCCACTATGTCATGTATTCTTAAAACAACATCAGTAAATAATTGTAAAAACATATTACATCATTACTTACTGACTTTCCCGATCAGAGGAGGAAGCATTTCTTCCATCATCCGCCATAGGTCCATATGGAATTGAAGCATATACCTTGTTTCCATTAGCTGTTATGAAATCTTGCTGCTTGTAGGAAGAGATGAACAATTGAGTAATCCAAAATAATTATATATGTGCAAATGAATCAATATAAAGTGTCATTTACCTTAAATACCAGTTCAACAACCTCTTTATATAACTCTATACAAAAAATTATTCATCAACCAAATGATCCAAATGAGATTCCAATTTGAATGGCATTCCAATGGTCTAAACTAAAACAAAGGTTCCATATCTAGTTAATTTTGCATGCCAGGTGGGGAACAAACACATTATTCTAATTTATCAATACCCAGACCCCTTATTCCATTGCAAAAATCAAAGTTGCCTAGAATACACATGCTTCCAATCCATGTTGATTAATCATGATTTAATAGGGTGCATAATGTAGTCACTAATTCGATTTATTTATAATACTTTGAAAGTTTGTATAGCTAATTGCTTGTGTTTCAATAACTTTTCATGCTGATTTTTTTCATGTAAAAAAGTTCCTGTTACACCTTAATCTAAGGTTTAAAGAAAGAAGAAGCATTCCTTGTGTTCTATTTCTTTATGTTTCTTTATCAGCAGTGTTCATCTACATTGATAATGAGGTAAAACTAATGTTTAAAAACTATCCAATAATTCTAGGGTAGTTTTGTACGTAAGATCCTCTAAATGCCAAAAAAGGAACCACATGTTTGTTATATTATAATCAAAAGATATATCTGAGAGTTTTGTTTGTAGAAAATAAATGCTTTAAAGAGGCTTCAAGATCTCAAAATCTTCTAAGTGTTTCCTTTTATTGGAACAAAATGGTTCTAACTTACAACTATGCTATTATTAATACTTTTAATTTTTTATTGTAACAACCTGCACTAGGAAAGTAGTCTTAAATATAGAACATTATATGTTCACTGGATAGCAAGAAGATGATATAACTAATGAAATTGTTACTTAATACCTGATCAATAACAAGCTCAATTTTCTCCTTCCAGATCAGAGCCTCCTGAATGTTAAATGCTGCCATCTGGTTCAAAAAGAAAACCAGTATTAAGAATAATAATATGCAGCACAAGCACACACAAAAAGATGTAAAATATGGGTCACTTGCCTATAATGAAGAAAATTATATAACATAGGTGACAGATTGAACACCTATTAATGGGAAATTTTACAAAGGATCTGTTTAGAACACCCCAGTTGACAACAGAATAAATGAATACACGACTCTTCCAGCAACCAGCAGGGGTGAAGCAAAAATACATCAAGGAGAGCCAAGAACATTTATAGTGGCTTGCAAACGAAAATAAAAAGATCTTTAAGTTGCGATTGGTGACAATTTTACAAAGCAACTGTCTACAACACTTCAGTTTGAAGGAATATATATACATATATACATATAAATATATACATATATATAGATATATATATATATACATACATATATATATATACATACATATATATATATACATACATATATATATATACATACATATATATATATATATATATATATATATATGACTTCCAGTAACTAGCAGGGATGAAGTGTCAAAGCAAGATCTTTACATCAAGGAGGGCCAAGAACGTTTATTGTGGTTTGCAAAAGGAAATAAAAGGATCCAAAAGCTATCTATTGGATTGAGCTAATTTAAATAAATAAACTATTTAAAATGAAATATATAAAATTAATTTATATGTTCTATTTAATTTACTAATTAAGCGTATGCATAAATTATTAGTATTTATCAGGAAAGTGTATTTCATTTTTGACATTCAGATAAATCAAAAGGAGGACTATTTGAAGCATTATTATACAATTTATCTTATGGATCAGCACTACTAAAAAGTCTCTTTGCTTGGTATCAGAGTATGATTGCTCCTTGCAATCAAAGTGACCAAGTCTCAAGTCAGGGAAACTACTTCTTTATTGTACATTGATGCTCCCAGACCTTGTATTGATAGAGTCTTATACGGTTGAGTGCCCTTTTAATCAGAACAATACCCTCCCTAGACAAATCCCATGACTCTAATAACAACTTTTGAATTTATGAAAACTGTGGCACTGCTTGCAGTCATGTTAGTTTTCTATAGCTAAATAACAATTTCTATTAAAGCAATACAATTCTTAAACAAAATGGAAATATATTTCAGCCTTGTTGATAATCACACAAATAGAAGGTCCAAAGTGGATAAAAGTGGCTCTACTTTGTGAAGTTAAGCAACTTAAGTCAGCACAAACCATAATCCGATGATACTTCTCTTTCTTGTTGTAAACACGTAAAACATACACCATCTGCACGTTAAAATAAGAAAATCAACACATGTCATTATAAAGAGAAGAACAACAAATTCTATCAGATCTAAAAATCGAAGAGAAATTAAATAACAAATTAATCAACACATTTTATTGATACAAAACATAAATGACAAAAGTATAAGAATCAAAGGTATGTGCCGAAGCAAGACAAATTTGAATTTTCTACAATAAAGAATCATCTTTAGTAAGACTAAGACATATTTATTGGTGCCATACATGTCACTTACTTGCATAAAAAATATTAGAACATAAGAAGCAACTCTAACTGTTAATAAACTGTGGAAAATTATTGAAACCCAACAAAAAATAATGATATTATATATTGAATTATTATGGTTAAAAGTTTATACTGCTGGTACACCAAAACTGCCTTAAGTTAGCATGTATAAGGAAGTTATTCAGACAAGGTTTTGGAGATCTAAGACTTCAAGTACATGAGTATATGCTATATCTAAGATATTGAAAAAAAGAATGTCAAATTCATAAACATAATCTTTGGTATTATCAGGACAATGTTCTGTCCGCAAAACGTGGTCATAGAACAGTGCATACACGAAGCTGTTAAAATCATAGCATTCATGAAATTAACTGGCATTAAGCCAGAACTCTAAATTGAATGAGAGGTATGTTTAGTGTTCCTTCAGAAATCAGGCTTTCTCCACTTAAAGAAGAAGAAGGCTTACATGTCCGTGGTGCATTTTAAGCCCCCTATCCTCCACTCTGCAGTTTCCATCTATAAGAAGTGTCTTGATCGGAAGCTGGATAATGGTAAACACGCTGAGACAGTTCAGTATTTCAATTAAGAAAATATTAAGGCACAACGGATAAACAAAAAGAACTCCTAATTCAACTGAGTCCAGACGAAATAAGAGAAAACATCAATATAAGAATTAGGAAAAAGAAACCAAAGGAGTGATGCGGTACCATGATATCCTGAGGTTTCCTCTTGTAGTACGCGAGCATTCTGGTCTCGAGAACGAAGTACCGCATATGGATGAACGAGCGCCCGATCTTCCTCCTCCCGAAACGGACCATCCATCCCTCATAAACCACCTTCGACATATTCTCACTCCTTCCCAGACGCGCCTAACCTCGATACTATTCCGACAAATCCCACACTCTACGGCGTCATAATCGGAACGATCAATCAAATATCAAAGGGAGCGAGTACGGCAAGCAGAGTTGGCCCTAGCCCACCGACAACCCAAGGTTCCTCAAGCTGAAGCCAAAAACCCCGCGATTAACACAGATCTTAACTCGTTCTCCAACCCCGAGTACAACAACACGACCGGATCTCCAGGAAAAGAGAATACCCACGCAACGGCTACGTGGATCGAAGGGATCGATCGGCTCGGCCGAGGCAGACTCCGACGATGAGATCGCGAGATCCTTTTCAGGAAGAAGGAAAGCGATGAGAGACTGAAAGGAACGGAGGAGGAGGGACTTGGTTGGCTTTAGATGTAGACAAAGGAGGGCGCGGCGCAGAACAAAGCATAAGAAGGTTAGACACAGCGCCTACAAGCACAAAATTCTTAAAAAGAACCGGGAACAGAAAATAGAATTTTAATTTCGAGAAAAGAGAAATAGGGACAATATCGACGACATGTGGGCATCAGCCAAGCTGTTTGATGGCAATATCAGCGACGGCAGACCAACCACTTCCACGTCAGCCAGATTCGAATCATCGTGCGTCGGACCTCGAAACCGCTCCACGTCAGTACTCTTTTGCACTTCCCTTGGGATATTGTTTCCTTTTATTCCTTTTTCATGGTTTATATCGTTCGTACAGTAAGAATTATTCTTTTCGGAAAATATTTTTGGGACCATTGCCATGTCGTCCTGTTTCTTGATAAGTCAACTTAATGCTAATATCTTGTCACCAACTGTTAACAAGCATAGTTCTTTAGTAGTAATTTTTAGTAATTAAAACTAAGTACTACAGTTTTTCAAACTTTTATAAAGTTCGTAAACACTTTATCATATTATAAGACCGACACTTTTGAAAAATTATTACCTACATAGGTGAATTTACTTTCTAATCAGATTCAATTCTGTTGTACTCCGATGAATATTTTCAAACGGGACCGGCGTTGACAGATCGGAATCTGTCGATAAAGAATATGATAAAGAAGATAAAGAAGATGAAAATACTATGCAAACAAATAACAATCAAAGAATATTATAGAAAATATTTAGACTTGAAACGTATATAAACACTTTTCTAAAAATAATATTTGTACCATCTTCTCAATAAGATTGCTATAGGTTTGATGTAAATAGTTTTAATAGATATGATAAGTCTTTAGAAGAATTGTATTGAGTAAATAATAAAAAATCTTTCGAAGAGAAATTAGAGAATATCTAATTCGATCACCGGGAGAATAAAGAAGGAAAGTATGAAAGAGATATATTCATAATTTATCCTCAAATACCTATTTATAGATATTTTATCAAAAGACACAACATTTGAAAAATAGCTACCAAAATAACTACAAAAGAAACCACCTTTTCAAATAATTTTTTTAAAAATAAATTATTTTTTTCTTTTTAATTTGAATAATTTATAATAATCCCTCACTTGTTCAAATTTAAAATTTTCTCCAAGTAATTAAATAATATTTATAAATAAAATAATATATCTTTCGATTTGAATATTTAAGCATCACAAAGTAAAATCAAAATCTCAAATAACATAAAAGCTTTGAATTTGTTATTCCTAATGACAACACTAGTGATACCACACACATAAATATAATATCCTTGTATTTCTTATAAAATTTCACTCAACCCTAATATGGCCTTGGGCTCATCCAAGTTCATGAACTTTTACGAAAGAAAACTTCAACTCTCGATCGAAGCGGCACCACTTCTAAATTCATACAGGTGAAGTTCTTATAGTATCTTTGTCACTTTTTGAGATACTTGTCCTAACTTAACTTCATTAAGAGTATAATTAACTCAACCCTTATTAAATGACAACCAACACTTTAACATCTTTAGATGGGACTCATAAAATATTTCAAAGTGCTGAACCACTCCACATGTCAATGACTTGTTCTTACCCTTTAAACTCTTCATTACTCATTTCATAATTTTGAGTAAGATTACTATTATCGATGGATCTTTTATTCAATGAGTTTTAGCCTCATCCATTTTGATGTTGATCTTACAACTCTCTTGAAGAGGTTTAGTGAATGGATCAACTAAATTCTTACTTGTTTTCATAAATGTGAGTGAAATAATCTCACTCTTGATTAATTTCCTCACATAATCATGTCTAAGACTTATATGTCTTGACTTTCCATTATATATTTTACTATACGCATGAGCTAAAGCAGCTTGCCTATTACAAAGTATAGAAATTGAATTCACACTCTTAGAAGTCAATGAAATTTCTAATAGAAAGTCCCTCAACCATTCAGCCTCCTTTCCTGCATTTGCTAGAGCAACAAATTCTGATTCCATAGTTGAGTGAGTTATACACGTTTGTTTCTTGCTCTTCCAAGAAACATCACGACCTCCCAAGGTGAAAATACAACCAATAGTGGATTTGTTATCTCCAAAACTCGAAATCTAACTTGCGGTAGTATATCCTTCTAAAATAGTAAGAAATTTTAAGTATTGTAGGTCATAATCTTTGGTTCGTTTAAGGTACCCAAGAACTCTTTCAATAGCCTTCCAATATTCTACATTTGGATTACTAGTAAATCTACTCAATTTACTAACTGTAAATGTTATATCAAGTCTTGTGCACTGCGTTGCACACATAAGACTTCCTATAGCACTTGAATATTCTAATTGAGCTACTGTTCTTCCAACATTCTTGACTAATTTGATACTTAGGTCAAACGAGGTATTTGCTTCTTTGATTTTTAAGTGACTGAATTTCTTCGGTACTTTCTCTATGTAATGAGTTTGACTCAAAATATATCCCCCACTATTTCTTTTTACCTTGATACCTAGTATAGTATCAACTTGCCCAAGATCTTTCATCTTAAATGTTGAAGATAAAAATCTCTTTGTTTCTACAATACCTTTCATGTCGTTACTCGTTATTAGCATATCATCAATATAGAGGCAAACTATCACCATATAGTCATCACAAGTTTTGAGATAAACACATTTATCTGTAATATTATGAACAAATCTATTAGAAAGAATTATTGCATCAAATTTTTTATGCCACTGTTATGGAGTCTACTTTAAACCATACAATGACTTAATAAGTTTACACACTTTATGTTCATTTCCCGATAGAATAAAACCTTCGAGTTCCATATATACCTCCTCATCGAGGTCTCCATTTAGAAATATCATTTTGACATCCATTTGATGAACATAAAAATAAAAAAATTGATGCTAAAGTAAAAATAATTCTAATAGATGTGATCCTAGCCATAGGAGCATATGTGTTAAAATAATTTATTCCTTCCTTTTATCGAAATCCTTTAGCAACTAACCTTACTTTGAACGTTTGGAGAGTACCATTTGTATGATACTTCCTACAAAATACTCATCTACATCTACTAGGTTTAGAGGCAAAAGGTAAATCGATAAGTTCCCAAGTATGGTTTGACATAATAGAATACATCTCATCATTAATAACATCTTTCCAAAAAGCAACATCAGGAGAGGCCATAGTTTCTTTAAACGTTTTAGGATCATCTTCCACTTGTAAAACAAGAGGAATTATTTTTAAGACTCTCTCGTTAGTTTATTCTATAAGGTAAAAAGAAATACTTTGAGAATCAATCCTCTGATCTTAATGTTTTTGCTTTTCGTACATGAGTGCTTCTCCTTAATTCATGAGATTGCTCTTCAACCTCTTGTGAACTTGATTGATGTTCAGTCAAAGGAATATTAGGTTGCTCACAAACCTTTTGAGATGTCTCTACTCGTGACTCTTCATTAGTTGGAGGATGAACATTATTACTTGAAGTCATTAAATATTAAAAGAACTCCACATCTCGAGATTCTATTATGATATTATACTTCAAATTAAGAAGTCTATATGTTTTATTATTTGAGACATAGCATATAAATGCATATTTGATTCCTCTATGTCCCAACTTTATTTTTGAGGATCATTATTCTTACAACATGTAAGACACTCTCACACTTTAAAATAACCAATGTTAGGTTGTCTTCCTTTTTATAACTCATATGGAGAGATCTTATTTTTTTAAAGAGAATTCTATTTAAAATATAACATGCAGCCAATAAAGTTTCTCCTCACAAATTATAAGATAATTTAGCATGCAACAACATAGCATTAACCATCTCTAGATAAGTTCTATTATTTATTTATGCTAATCCATTTTGCTAAGGTGTTCCAGGTGCTGAACATTCATGAATTATGCTATATTGTTCACAAAACAAATTAAATTCATTAGGAAAGTATTCTCCCCCTCTGTCACTTCTTAAAACTTTAATTTTCTTCCCTAATTGATTTTCAACTTATGCTTTATACGTATTAAAAGCATTAAAAGCATCATTTTTATGTTTCAATAAGTATACATATGTGAATCTAGACATATCATCTATAAAAGTAATGAAATATTTATTACCTCCTTTTGTTAATATGTCATTTAATTCACATATATCAGAATGTATTAAATCTAACAAATTAGTATATCTTTCAACGCTTTTGAAGGGTTTCTTCATCATCTTTGATTTAACATAAATTTTACATTTATTAAGATCATCAAAATGATAATTTATTAAGCCGCACTTAACCATTCTTCTAATGGTGCTAGTTCCAATATGTGCTAATCTTTTATGTCATAATGAATAAGAATCAACAATATAAATAGAAGCAACATCTTTATTGAATTTAGAATCATTGTCAACAATAGATAATTTGACAATTCCGTCAATGAAATAGTCTTTTCCAACAAAAGTTTTATTACGGGATATAATTAACTTTTCGAATTCAAATATAAATTTAATTCCAGGTTTGCCAAGGAGATTCCCACTCACTAAATTTTTACTCATATCTAGTACATGAAGAACATTAGTAAGAGTGACTTTCTTTCCCGAAGTGAAAGTGAGTTCCACATTTTCTTTGCCAATCACCTTAAAACGAACTTCATTTCCCATTTGAATCTCTTGCCCTTCTTTTTTTATAAGTCTTGAAGAGTGTCTTATCATAACAAACATGGACAATAGCATAAGTATCATACCACCAACCAGAAACCTTGCCAAATATGATATTCACTTCGCTCACCGTAGCGATTATATTATCATCTCCCTCAACGGAGTTGACTTTCGGTTTCTGACCTTTTTTAAATCTATAATCCCTAGCAAAATGACAAGGTTTTCCACAAACAAAACAGTCTCCACTCTTTGGCTTCTTAAATTTTATTTGATCCATTTTGGGGCCAAAATGGTTCTCCTTATTTTGCTTGCTTTTGTTGGAATTCTTAGGTTGATTCACAACATTTGCTTTTATATTGTCAAATGAGTTCTCACTCTTATTTCTCATCATCGATTCCTCCTTGATTCGAAGATGTTTTTGAATTTACTTCGAAGTGACACCCTTGGAGTCATGCAAAATCTTCTTCCTATATCCTTTCCAAGATAAAAGGCAACTTGGCTATTATAGCCCCTACTTGAAAAGGTTCAAGAAGTTCGATTTTTTTAGCCTTCAATTGATTAACAATGATCTGTAACTTATACACTTGTGTTAAGATTGGTTTGTCATCCATAAACTTATAATCAAAATATTTAAAAATTAAAAATTTCTTTGTACTTTCTTCCTCGGCATGCTACTTGAATTCCAAAGCATTCCAAATTGCTTTTGTAGATGGTTCCATCGTATAAAGATCATAAAGTCGATCCGAAATAGCATTGAGAATGTGTCCTCTACACATGACTTCATATTCATTTCTCTTCTTTTGTTCAGTCTTGACTTCATCGGTGTCATCGTCGGTTGGATCAAGAATTGGTTGAAAATTTAGATTAAGCACATAAAAGATATGGTTGAAGATTTGGATTAAGCACATAAAAGATATTCAAAGGAGTCAACATAAACTTCATTTTGTCTTGCCAACGAGTAAAATTTGTTTCATCAAAACGATCCAAACGAACAAAATCTTGATTCAATAATTTGATGATATTTGTGGCCTCCACGGTGAATTTGTATAAACTCACAAATATCGTTTTTAGATTATTAAAAAAAATACGGCAAAGAAAAAGATGAAAATACTATGAAAACAAATAGCAAACATAAGATCAAGAATACTATAGGAAATATTTAGGTTTGAAACGTATATAAATATTTTTTCTAAAAATAATATTTATACCTTCTTCTCAATAAAATTATAATGTATTTGATGCAAATAGTTTTAGTGGATATGATAAGCCTTTAGAAGATCTGTATTGAGCAAATAATTAAAAAAAAAATAGAGAATATCTAATTCAATCATTCGAAGAATAAAGGAAAAAAATATGAAAGAAATATATTCATAATTTACCGTCAAATATCTATTTATAGATATTTTCTTAAAATACATCATCTTTCAAAAATAATTATCAAAATAACTAAAAAAAATATCTTTTCAAATAAATATTTTGAAAAGAATTTTTTTTTAATTTGAACAATTTATAACAGCAACTTGAACGAGACGGCAGCGGCGGCGGCAGCAGCAGCCGTAAGGAAAAGTCGGAACACGATGCGAAGAGCGAGAGGCTGGGGCTTGGCCGCGAGGGCCGGGACGGGGTTTGGAGAAGGCGGTAGGAACGAAGGCAGAGCCCTGTGAGGTGGGTCACCCCGACGGAAGTATTCGGGCGACTTCTTCGACGCTTCCATGTATCTGTGTGGCGATAGCAGCTTGAGAATGGTATTTCGAAGACAACCAGCCGAGCAAACGTAGATTCCGATTTGATTACTGAGAACAAGAGCAAGGAATAAACGGAGAGGGCTCGATCAAGCGTTTTGTTTTGCAGAACGAACGCGAGAGTTCAATAGCATCCGATTCTCCCTTGTCCGGGCCAAGGAAAAGCTTTTGCCCAACGCAGAAGGAAAGACGATGCTGACCGCTTCTCTCTGACGCCCCGTCCAACTATTTATATGCGCCTCGTCTCGTCGCCCGACTCATGGAACAAAGGATCTGTGCAGGGTGAATTCAGGAACCGCTCCATGGCTCAAATACTCAAAGGACTATGGGAGAGGGTCCAAGGCAAGTGACGCTTCCCTTCTTTCCTTCTTGTTGTTTGATGAAATGTGCGTGTGGTTTCCAGCGTCGATTTCCTGGCGTTTTTGGTTGTTTTAGTTGGGACTTCTTTAGGGTGATATTATTAGAGCCGACGGAGATTGGCTGAAGGGAGAGATCTTAATTCGTTCAGACATTTCCATAACATCATTACGTCTACAATAATCGTATTATAACACGAAGATATCATGAAAATGTTGCATCAACAACGACTAACTGGTAATAAATAACACCAATTTGTGAAATTTTTTTCTCATCAATTGTTGGTCTTTTCTGTGTGGGCTCAGTGATTCTGTAACAGATGATACACCTGTTGGCGTTCACATGAAATTGTTCTAAATAAGACATTGCAGTATGCTGAAATGCTTATCAAAGTGAAAAAGCATGCATGTTCCAGTTCATCTTAGCCCCTAACAATCACCAAAATGCCTACGCTTATAATATAATCTGCTAGTTCTTTGTTATAATATGGAAGACCAACAAACTAGGACTTTGTGAGTTATTGGATTATTCTACTTTAAGACCTTGCACCTTCTATGTTGCAATAGCATATTATCTCTGTGACTTATCAATCTTATTGCTGGTCATTTTGAACTCGTGCTCAAAGTCGGGCATATTGCAGCTACATCCCTTCCTTTGCCTTAGAAACAGGACGAATGCATCCAGTTTCTAACCTATCATCCTTCAATTGAATCTGAAAAATATAATGAATAGCTGCCAAGTTGTTCAAAACCTTCTCTCACACCTCCCTGTCAATGCAAATGATTATTATATTAGAAACCTCAAAATCATCTTATACTAATTTGAGATATCAGCTGACCTCAATATAAATCATTGCAAAGTCATATGTATGGCATTAATGCGTTTGGTGGAGACTGTGATAAGGCTATGGATACGTCAGAATATTGGCTGGGGAACTTTCCTATCTTGGTGTTCTTACTAAAGGAAGGTTGGATGATGATAGACTAGCTCCGTGAGGTGCCAACTGCCTTACAATGGGTGGTAGAATGATAAAGAATTCTGGTGAATAGTTCTACTCTCAGCCATTCTTTGCATAACATGTCAATCTATTATAAGTGACCAAAATGGGTTGTCCCAGCATGTGAAATGAGATATGGGCATTATCGCTTTTGGTTGTTTCATCGAAAAAAAGAAATCATAAATGTGTTCTTTTCCTTGATTAACCTAACATTAACTATCCCAATTTTCAACACCAGTTTAATTTTCTTTTTGCTAGGTCTTCTTTAACAAATTTGTTTGCATCAGACTTCAGTCAGGACCCCCCTGACATTGTATGAACTTCAAGCCAGTTTATTCCCTTTTTTTTCCTCCTCACTTTGCTCTACAAGCAAGGAATTGGGATGGAATGAATTGGTATGACCATGGCATGCATACTTATTTGCATGTTGCTAAATCATAACTCAAACTTGGTTGACTTTTCTTTCCCAGACCTTTTCAATTCTCGAAAGATCTTCAAACAAAGAAGTCCTAACAAGATTTGCATTTTAACTGAATTTTTCTCTTTCTGTTGATGAACGCCTCTTGGCACTGTAATTTCTCTGTTTATAGACCAGTTTGTGAAGGCACAATGTCAAGTTCAGAGTAAATACATGTGCAAAATAACTAGTTATAATACATAGATAGGTGAGCAGTTCTACTCTGCATTGAGGTAGCCTGTAATCATTATTCTTGTATTTGATTGTGTTGACATTCATGTCTTTCTATTATATGATGCAGGTAAGTGGCATCTGAAGATAATATGTAGCCATGTTTTTAACCAATATGCTGGTAATAAGCCACTCATGGCGTTGGAAAAGCTCCACGTTGCAACATTACGGGTTTTTGAGTAAGCTTTTTGTATCCTTTCTGCCTAAATTTTTTTAAAGTATTTTCAGAATATGGTTTTAGTATGTTATTATGTTGATTTAAATTGCAGCTCTCTGAACAAGAATCTCCTCGGTCCTCATAAGCAACCTCCATCTGCATCGGCTATTGCCAACAAAGAAAAAGTACGGTGTAATTTCATATCTTCATGATCGATGAATCTTGTGAATAATGGAGCACTTGCAAAGTTTCTGTTGTTAGTATCTGAAAAGTCAAAATTTGTCGATTGGTACAAAAGGATCATATAGCATGTTGAGGTACATATGGAGTTAGAAACGTATAGACCTGGTGATAGTGTTTTTCGATCATAATATCCATCTTCTGAATGTTTTATGTAGTTCTGCAAACTTGTAAGGACACTAGAGCCAGAAACGTGACATTTCTTTATAAATTCCTGAGAGTCAATTAATTACCAGGAAAGAACAAAATGAGTTCCTCAACATAGGGTAAAATGCTCATGCATCTACATTTGCAACCTTAGTGTTTCTATAATTACCGCTCACATGAACTGAATGAAACATGTTAATATCATATCTCAGTGAGGGAAGGCCTCCTTTGTCATGGTCTCATGGTTGATGGCCTAGCAATAGTTGAGGTCTATAACAAAACAGATATATAACAGTAGCACATTGCTTATTGGGAATCAGATCATTTGAATAGTGTTACAACATTTCTTGCTTAAACTTACCTGTGGTTGTTTACAAATGCAGGAGTACAGGAAGACCAAAACTGAAATAAACGAGAATGAGTTCTATGAAACAATTTTGGAATGGACGAGTAAAGATTTGCGCATATATACGGTGAATAAAATCATTCTTGCTTGTCTGGCATCGCCCGCGCTGACCATCGTGACAAAGAACGCGGGCAAGCGAGTGCCAAGGATCGGACATGTCGTGGAGAAGATTCCAGCTCCTGTGTTATTCTCAGCTTACTCTGCGTTGCTTGTGTTCCTCCCAGATATCCGTGTTGAGTAGGAGAAAGTATCCAAGTTTAAACAACTTCCCTGGTGTGTTCAAGCAGGATCAGTATCACTATGTTTTGTGATGTTTTATAAGGATTGTATTACAAGAACAATTAAATAAATATGCGACAAGCTGGATAGCTTCTGTGCAGAATGGTATTACATATTAATTTGGGTGATTTTACGATTGAAATATCAGCTTTTATATCGGGACGCTTTGATCATTAAAGACAGAATACAAGGCAATATTGCCAGATTCTTTTAATGCATATACTATTATTTATGTGCAACTTGTAACGACGATTGGTGGTGGCTTTGTGGTTGAGAGCTGTAATCTGGGATTGAGGATATCTATCTGGTGGGGAGAAAGCCTCGGCTGTCCGAACATGACCAATCGGCACGCCCACAGGAAGGCAGCATGGTTGAAGTCTACATCTAGTACTAAAAGCATGTGACGGGCGCGTCATTCACGGGACGCAGCCAGCCAAGCAGGAACGGAACCTACCAATTCCAATTCAACCTGACGTCGCCGTTGCCCCTGTCTTCCTAATCCAAAGAATCCGTCTCCAATAAAATAAATAATATGGTAATTAAATAAATATATATAAGATGTAGAAGGCAATACGAGCCATTCCTTTATCTTTTCCTTTTTCCTTTTCCTTCGTTCATGCATCATCAGATCGTCCTCAACCTTTGGTCGTCGTCTCCAGATCCGTAGCTCCGAGCAACGCAGCAGCAAGCGCCGCACCGCCCCCTTCACTCCTTGTCTCTTCGTCCCCTTTGAACCACTTTCAATCCAGAGAGAGCGCGAGGAAGGATCGAGATTAAGAAAAGATAGTGACCACCTATGTTTCCTTTTCGTCGCCCCTCGTAATAATACGCCTTTTGCCTCTTCTGATATCGCAATCATTTCCTCGGGTTGAGGGCGGTGCCACCGTAACACCTCCACACGCACCCTTACTCACCAGGTACGTCCTTCCCATCCCAAACCCGAAAGAGAATGAAAAGCTGAGGAGGAGACCTAATCTTAGTCTAATTCTCCAACTCTAGTTCACTAATCGGATCTGTTTCTGCCGGTGTCGGAGAAAGTGAGAGAGCAAAAGTAGGGAAAGAAACACGTTGCCCTACTCATGTTTAGTTTGGATCTCCTTTTCCTCCCTTTTTCCTCTTCCAAAATCGTATGACTGTTTTGCTGGTTTGTTCATTTAATCTCTCTCCGGTATTCTGATGATTTTGGTTTACCTTTTCTTTCCCGCTTTTATTTATGATAATTACGTTCTTTATTTCTAGAGCAGGACGAAGCTTGTGAAGGAAGAAGACGATCGCGATCTCATCCGTATGGAGTCAACGCATCGGTGGGTTCCGTTGTAATTTCGTCGGAGATCCACGGGTGGATCGGAAGGGAAGGGAAGGGAAGAGGAAGGGAGGGGAGGGGAGGGTCGGTCACACGAGCGAGGCGACGATTAGGTCATAATTGCCATCGATTGATCGTACATGGGATCGTTCAAGGGTCACGTGCTGCCGGGCAGCCTGTTCCTGGTGGTAGGCGTGTGGCACGTGTGGAGCTCTGTGTTCCGGTACGTGTCGGAGCCGCCGGGCGCCTTCCGGGTTCGGGCGTGGAGCCCGGTGGGCCGGGGCAAGGCCCGGCACCTGGAGCTCTACGTGGTGGCCGGCGGGGCCTTCCTCGACATGTGCGTGGAGCTGCTCTACTCCACCCACCTCCGTTGGTTCGTCGGTCCCGAGCGGATCCTCAACCCCGCTCACATGAACGACTTCGAGCACGGTGGCATGCTACTCATGTTCTTCGTCTACGGCGCCCTCGCCCTCGTCTCCGAGAAGACCAGGTCAGATTTATCTTCCTTCGTCTTCCTCTGTGCATATCTTTAAAACTGACTCGAGGAAACCATAGACTGGGTCATAGATAGTGAGTTTGGACGGTGGCCCAGTGGAAATCTGGTTCTTGTAGATGCAACGCAGCAGTGGAAGCCTGATATGTCTACACTTGTTTGACCAAAGAGATCGTCGGGAGAAGGAAATGAAAGTCTAAATGCATTGGATTCGTTGATTTATTTATCCGACTCGATTGCTTTCTCGTGGCACTTTGTGCGCCTCGCTTTTCCCGGAGCTGTTTGTGGCTTATATTGCTTTGCATTGGACAATGAAATTTATGTCCTTGTCCGGTCTTAACCCCCCCCCCCCCAACATTATTGGCGTTGTCAGAAGCAGAGCTGTCCGAGAATAGCTCAAGCCCGTCAAGTATTTTTCTTTTTCTTTTGTGCACTTAGGAGACATAGGTGTTCATAACAGGTTAGGATTCCAGACTGGGGAATAAATTCTACGCTTTCATTGCCATCTCTAAACATTACGGGCTGATAGTTGTGTTGCATGCAGTTGTAATGTCCCAATTCAGAACTTCTTTATGATTGGAATACCTTTATGAGATTGAAAAGAGATGCGATAACGACATTATCTTTTCTTTTAATGTTTGTCAGTGTTGATGGCAAATTCTTAAGGTTTAAATTTCAGCAATAATAATTATTACACCTTTTCTTGTGGTCGGAGACAATTTGCTTTAGAAGCTGGTTTTGAGAGTTCTTCGATGCCATGGCATCATATTTCTGGTTGATATATTGTATTTGCTAACAGTGATAAACCATACTCCAATGACAGGTATTTACGTTTGCCGGAGGGGGCATTGTGCCTGATAGGTGCTGCTGCATTCAGCTCGGAGTATCTGCTGTTCTACTTCCACTCAACCACTCACAAGGGATTGGAGGGTTATTACCACCTCCTGCTCGTCCTCCTCATCGCTCTCTGCATCGCCTCTGCGATTGCGGGTGCCCTCTTCCCCACCAGCTTCGCGGCGGACCTCACCAACGCAATCTCAATCACTCTCCAGGGCTTGTGGTTCTACCAAACAGCCTTCACTCTTTATGGTCCCATGATGCCCGAGGGCTGTCGCCTCGATGGCAATGACATCGCCTGCCACTCACATGACAACCAGGTCCGAGGGGAGCTGCTTGCCAACGTCCAGCTCTTTTCGCTCATCCTGCTCGTCTTGTTCTTCGTGCTCGGATCCTACGCTGTAGCTGCATCCCGGTACGGACATCCGGATCTCAGTAGGTCGCATGCAGGCGAAGAGCATACAGCGGGAAGCGGTGGTTGGAATTTTGGTACTCACCTACGCACGGGAACGACCCTCGAGGAGGTTGCTGCCTATTGAGGGACGGAGCACACAAAACTCGTGCTGGTTGTAAACTGGTGAAGGCGGTACAAACTGTTTTCAGTCTCTCCTTCTCTTTCTTCCATTTACTTTCTTCTTGGAGGATGGCACGATCCCAGACTTGGTCGAGCATTATTGGTGGATTTCATGCGCTAGAGTGGAGCAAGTTCTTTGATTTGTTGCAGGGGTTCTTTGTTTCCTGCGCGCTCCGTTTGGGCAGAGATGTTGCTGTTGTTGGTCTGATTGTCTTGTGCATCACAGACGTCCCACAAATGTTTCTTGGACTTGATCGAAGATAAGGCGAAGGAACATAGGCAAAAAGACCATTCTATATACTATTTACTACTCTGTTATCATTAGTAGCACAATGATTGAAGAACAAGGCCAAGGAAAATAGACAAAAAGAAGTAGTTCTATTATTCGTTGCAGGGGTTCTTTGTTTACCGCGGTTAAGCTGCTGAGTGCCTGCGATTTTTGTGCTTGCGTTTTCACGTCTTAGTGAGAGAGACAGCGACCGGTGGCAATGCCGCAACATTAGTTTGTCCCCACAATGGACTGTGATGTCGAATTATGAGCCCCGACACACCGAATGATCGACTTTGTGGCAGTACCATCGGGTTAGTATAACGATTTAAGTCTTGTTGTACTCGATACACCTCCACGTCTACGGATAAGATGAGTGCGAGATTACGAGCAACACCGCAAGTGATTTTGATGGAGACGCTGGATGGGATGAAGAGTAGAGCTAGTTGATCTCAAAATTGAGTTGTAAGCATAAAAATCGATATGTACCCTTTGAATTATTATGTAAAAATATTTAATATTAAAAATTAAAATTAAATAATGATAAATCAAATTTATGATATGCACTCTTTGATATCATTCAGAAAATATTTATCTGATTTGTAGATATATCATTGTCAGATCCGAAAACTACTACTAGTCTCTCAATGACTTAACTTGATTAATATTTTTTTTTTTTACCATTCTCCAAGATATGTAATCTTCCATTTATTTGCTATTTTATAGGAATTTTATATTACCATATTCAACTATTTTGATTAGGAAATAAAATATATCCCTTTAAATTTTTTTAGATAAATAATAAAATATTCAAGAATAATCCTTGAATATCATTTTTTTTATATGATTTAAAGACTTATATCTCAATCCTAAATATGTAAATGTTTTAAATTGAATTTTCTACTAGTCCATAACTCAAAAAAGGTTGATGAAATTGACTTAAGTAGGAACCTCGTTCAAGATATATATAATCATCCTTAGAGTTTCTCGTTACTTTGATCCATGTATAGAAGAATAACTTATCATGCTCCTTACTATATCCTTAAGAGTATAATTTTATATGTTAATAATCCTATTCTACTATAGCACATTTAGTAAAATATATTGAGTACAAATACTACACTTTTTCAATAATCTAGCAAAAATATTAGAATTATGATTGGGCTCATCATAAATACCATAAAATTTATCACCCATATTAGACTTGATAATTTTTAACTTTTCTATCTAATTATCTCTCGATTTGATTTATATACACATAAAAGTATCTTAAATAGTCATATTTCAATAGGTAATATATAAAAGTGATAAGATATCTCTATTAATTAAAATAAGGAATATAAAGTGACTCACAAATATAAGCATATATAATCTCAAGGAATTCATGAAACTACGCTTCATTCCTATACAAACTCTATTATAGGATCATTATTAACTCAAGATTCATATTAATCCTATACAAACTATCAAACAAAATTTAAATGTTAATGTTTATGAAATCATAAATATACTAATTTTACAATCACCAAAAGAGAAATAATATCATGATAATTCTAGATTAAAAAATTTCTAGAATTATAGAAACATAATATCAAATGAATCATCTCTAAGCATAAGCAATAAGTATCATTTATTATTACTTTTGCCTTAAGATGATTCTCTATAACAATAAATAATTTATACTCTTTTAATTCTCATATTAAAATGAATCTCTAGTATTGGTAATATGAGTTGAAGTACCAAGTATCAAAAAAAGACTTCTATAACATTTGATTCCAAACATACAAAGATCATACTTATGTCTTTTCCTTTCGAACCCTAATCATTTTTCACGTGACCTTTCTCGTCGTAGAAGTAGCACTTTATAATAAATTTTTTTTATTAGTTTATATATCAATTATAAACTTAGTTGATTTATTTGATAAATTATGATTCAATCTTTTCTTATTACCTACTCCTTAAATGGTATCAAAAATATTATGAGTCTTTCTTATTTTAGTCTTAATTTTTCATATACATATATAATAGTTAGTTCATTTAATTTTTACTTATCCTTAATTTTATTATAGTAAATTATAAATGAGTTAAACTAAAAAAAATTAAGAATAAATTATATGAGAAAAGATTCAATTATATTCACCACTAATATTCTTGAGCATATAGTTTTTTCAATCATATTCAGAATATAATCTTAAATCCCTCAAATACATTTATACAGAATTTTAATCAATTCTTTCACTAATATATTTGCTAATGATTTATTAATAAATTTAAATTAATCTTTAATATTCCATTGCACTAGTTGTATACTATAATAAAATCTAAATATAATTATCAATTATCATAAAATTGAGTCTTTAGATCTTTTTTTTATCATTTATTCTAATTATTTAAACTTGTAGTTATGTTTGTGATTTTTTCAACTAGTTCGATTAAGGTATAACATAGTCGATGTAAATTATATATGCTTAAGTTATTTATAATAAATTTTTAAAAATATAGGGATATTTATAAGAATGCAATGAAGAAAATACCATTGTAATAAAATAAAATAATATTAGTTCTTTAATTTTTTTAAGTAAATATTGAACTATGGATATCATCTCTATCTACACCTTTGAGTGTAATATTATTATATCTAGTATTGTATAAGATTATTTATAAAGGACTAATATACATGTGGTATAGTATTGCTACCTTTGGTATACAAGCATAAGCTACAAGGATATTCAAAACTATATTATCCTATTATATCAAATAATTATTCGAAGTAGATTCTACTTTCAGATTATTTAAATCTCCTAATTATGTATATCATTATGATTATTATTTGTTTCCTTATATTATTTAGAACCAATTTTTTAATATAATAAGTTATTAATTTAGGCATTTTGATGGTTATAAAATCAATATAATAATATAATAAATAATTTAAAAATATTTTATAAATAATAAAAATTATTATAATTCATATCTCATATGCCTATCATTCTAAGTCACTTTAGTAGCTACCAATTATATAAAACTTAGGGATATGAGTTACAAATAATATTCATCAAACATTTTAATCTAATTTATTTATAATAATAATAATAATAATAAATGATAATCATAACAATTATTAAATATTAATCAGCATAAAGGAAAACTTCTTATTATTATCATGATAAATCATAAATTATACATTTATATAAAAAATAAATATTATTTCATAATTATAAATATATACATATGAATAAACAAACAAATATTAAGAACAATAATTAGATTTTTATTTATCATATACAAAATTTTATCAATATGTCATATGAGAAATTTATAAAAAATAATAATTTATATATTTTTTAATTTCATATGAAACTCTTATATTAGTCAATCTTATTTAATTGGGTAAACCTAAAATTAAGATACCCAAATTAGACTCATAGATTTGAGCCAACCGTTCACCAACTAGGCTCATGAAAATTAAAATTGATCAAAGTAAAAAATTGATCAAAATTTAATTTCAAATAAAACTTAATTGATGGAATCTAAGTCTAGTCAAATAATCAAAATATAGTCATGATCAAATTCGATCAAAATATTTGATTAAAATAAATCAAATTAGTCTATTTATAATTAATGATATAAGTCAAAAAAAATTTAATTTCTTATAGGCAAAACTATAATTTTACTTGGGATATATAATAGAAATATCTGATTACTAAAGGGTATAATTATCAAAGTTAAATTTAAGGACATATACTAGAATTTTAATTTTTGAGGGATAAAAATATCCTTTTTTTAAAAAAATTCTATATCGTTGGTGGTGCACCGTTGTCCCCTTATGACGGTGTAATTATTCGCAGGTGGCTGACTAGTGACCTCATCGTCACCACACCATGTCGTTGAGCCCATACATAGATATGTACCGATTGGCGACACACTATCGTCATGCTGTGTTGTGTCACCGTACCCACACGTAGTTGTGCACACATGTTGCTCAATGACCACTATGATCATTGCGGTGCATGGCTATGCCCACTCTTCCACCTATGTAGTCATTGGCTTTCGGCGTCCAGTTGACACCGGCAATGACAAGCAAATGCCACCGTAATGGTGCTATTGTAGTCACCATAGGCAATAGTGTTGTTGCAACTATCGCACATAGTGGTGTTGTTGCAGAGGTCGCATGCAATGATGTTGTTGCAATCATCGCAGCCACGACAGGTAGTGGTGTTGTTGTAGTCGACGCACGTAGTGGAGCCGTTACAATCATCACAACCACTTACGACCAAGGCAGGTCAGGCGTCGCAAGGCTACTGCCCATTGGCAGTCGTGATATGGCCTCGTCGACTTTTACACCTTACAGCACTTCTACTGTGTTCGCAATCGTTGCCTATGACTAGGCTAGCACCACCGGAGGTTATCGCCCTTAATAATATTATTAGTGATAATAAGCTGTCGATAGTAGTTCATTGACCAAACATGAGGAACCTCGCATCACCCATAAGCAAGCGATAAGACGAACTAGATATAAAAGTATATCGACAACACAAATGGATCGTTTCAGTATCATAAATCAATACTGAATAACATCATTTCACAAGCGAAGTGTGCTAATAAATCAACCTAAATACAAAATAGATTTGAAATACTTTTACGATATAAAGTATTGGATTTTAAAACATGGATATGATATCAATTGTAAGTATAAAAACCATGATTATGATACTATTATACAAAAACTTTAATGTCAAAAATAGAAATCAAATAACAACTGATTAAATTTATGATGCGTATTTTTTAATATCATTTAGAAAGTTTTTATTTGATCCACGAGTGCATCGTCATCGAATTTAAAAATTATAGTAATGTCGATCTGCAAGGAGATCCAGACTCATCTTCTCATATCTTCATATCATTTACATAACCACTATGAGCAATGAATTTGGGACAATAAAATGTGATAGATCTTTTAATAACTCCATGTGACTAAGAAAAAATGATAAAAAATCTGTTATATCATAATAATGTCATATATCCACATCAATGATAAATAATTAGGAGAGTCAATTTCATTAAGATTATTTTTAAGGAATCATATTATAATTAATATAATCATAATTATATATCAATT